GGGGAGCAGAACAGGCCGACTGATGAAGTACACTGCTGAGGGGAGCAGCGGGCGGGTCAGGAGAGGTCTGCCACGCCAGGTGGGTCACCTCTAGGCCAGGGGATCGAACTCGAGCTGAAGCAGCTCTGACTTCCTTGCAGTACTGTACTTTCACCAGGGAGGGCCCTGCATGACTATCTTAAGTGACCCTAATATATGATTATATTTATACTTTTCAGTTATTTAAAATATGAGTATAAAGTTTAATCAAAATCAGCACTCATTCTCTAGCTAGCTACACACTCATTAACAGGCACAATTGTCAGAGCTGCCCTTTCTCAAGATGCGACAGCAGAGTTCCTTTAGAAACACACATGTTCTTTTGTGTTTTGCCTCTATCATAGTTCCTTGCTCGCTGCACCTCCAATCCCTTTTTCTGGGCTACTGTTGGCTGTCTCCAGAGATACTGAGTCATAGGGCCTGGAATTCAACGATCAGAGTTATGACCTTTGATCACACTCCTCCAAGACCCTTGGGTATAGTCGGTCTCACTCCTTGACCTGACCCGCAGTCACTCAGCCACGGACCCCAAGTTCCTAGATGAATTGCTGTTACTGCTTTATTAAGTCTGAGCTGAAATTCCTTCTCCTCGAAGAGCAAGAGTGCTCATCCTTTGAGTTTGTGTTGGCTTTGTCTCATTCAGGACCTACTTTCTACTCTTTCTTTAAGAAATTATCCTTGTAGACCCACGGGGAGGCACAGTCGCCCCTCCTTTGACCAGAATGGGCAGAGTCCACTTTGTCCATCATCTTGCATTGCGTGTCCTTAGCCTTCCTGCACAGTTGGCACAAAGCTGCCATCTGCAGAAACTATGCTCTCTCTAATCCAACAAGGTGAGATCTGGAGGCACCCTCAGCACCCCAGCACCAAAGGCCTTCCCTTTCACAACCCAGAGCCTCCCTGTGGTGGGAGGAGATAGAAGTTGGTGCTTCTGGGAACATTGACTCAGGAGGTAAGTGCACAAGGGAGCAGAGTAAAACCCCAGAATGGGATGGGATCAGTGTGGAGCTCCCCCCACTAGCAGCCCGCTGTGAGTCAGTACCAAGATATAGCAGGAATTGAAGGGCAGGAGGATCTCATTATCTAGGAAAGATCGACATTAAGGGAGCCCTGGAGAGAATAAACATGGGTGGGCTCTCTCTGTCTCTTCAAATATGAATGCGTGGACCTGGGTAAATGGGAGTTTAATCTGGTTTGGGTGTAATGAGTGAAGCCAAGACACTGCCAAGCACATGCTTCCTCGTTCTAAATGGAGGCCTTCTCTAAGTGAATTGCAAAAGCCTCCAATAATTGCATTTTGCAAATGACTAAATGAAGTAAGCCCTGCAGGTCTATTCTTACTTTTCTAAGAGGGTGGCTTTCCAACCCCTCGCTCTTCCGCAAGTCAGCTCAGCGGAGCATCCAGCAGACATAGGGAAAGTTTCCTGCAAGAGAGAGCAGCTTTTCTGCAGGATGAGGACTGCGTGATGCACATATTGGTAGACGTCTCTAAGGCACAGACAGTCCAGATCTACTCTTCCTGCAGGCTGGAGGTTGGACCTGCGCTTCAAGGTCTCCACCTAGGGTTCTAGAACAAAAAAGGGTGCTCTCTCAGCATGGCTTTACAGTGGCCTGATAATGGGTCAGCACTTTCGCCTCCAATTTGGTGATCAATGATACATAAAGTCAGCTTGTGTTTTCTTTCAGCTAGCTTTCCTGAATCTGCTCAGATGCCTGTAGAAGGTTTAAGGTCTTTCTGACTGAGTGCTCTTACTGGTGGCTGCTTCAGAGAGTGAGCCTTGCTCTGGAAAGGAAAAAAGAAACCAAAGGAAGAGCATGGACACATGTGTAGGACGGGAAAGAGGGTGGCTGGCAGTGGACAGTCCCTTCCTTGCAGAAAAGACACCTGGAAACCTCATAAAGTGGTATCGGGAGCTAAATTACTGAAGAGTAAGGATTATGGGCCAAAATTTTGACTCACTGGCTCTCATTGCTCTTCTTTAAAACATACTGGGAATTCCTCTCATTGCAAATAACCTTTCTTATTTAGGGATCAGTAATTCCATTCATAAATGAATATCATTACAGATAGCTCATGTTCCAGCATCATCCTTAATGGTTGGGTGTGGTATTTCACCACCATGAAATCAAAGACCTGCTTGCCAACAAACCCAAGCAGCCCCCTGATTTCACATAAACGTGATGTCTTTTTGTCTCTCAAGATCTAAACATCTTCAGGACTCTCAGGACTCTCTTGGAAATCCTTCCTTTCTTGTCTTTCTGAAACCACTCATGGCCATTTGTGTAAAAGTCTAATAAAATAGAATCGTGCAAAGGAGTGATGAAATATTTTGCTCACACTGAAATGAGTCACATCCTCCAGACAACGTGTGGGCACTTACTTCTACAAACAGTGTGCCCTAGGTTTACCAGACATCACTCAAAGTGCAGGAAGGAAAGATATTTCCTTTTTTTTTTTTTAAACCAGTGATTTCTTCTTCCAAGAGACTGAAAGCATTGATTAAAAAAAAGTCCATAAAGATTTCCTTTAAGCAGGAATTGAACAATTAAAGACTGTGGTCATCAGTCTTTCTGCCTTGTGGATTCATAGCTCTGTGCCACAAGTAAAATTGTTTAATCAAGAATGGCCAGTAAATAAAAATAAACCATTGCACACCAAGTCTTTTTCAGTGCCATTTTCCTTACACTGTGGAGTTCATTGGTTTTGCCAGTATATTTCTGTTTTAGTGGGTGATGCCTCATTTACATAGGAGAGAGGAATCCAGCAAATTTTTCCTATGTGATTTAGCATCCACTATAGGACTCAATCTTTTAAAAATAAAAACACCCCCAAAAATCCATGTCATGAGGGCACTTCCATGATTGTGGAGAGCCCATCCTCCTTTCAGATCAAAAGTCTGCCTGTGAATCTTACCCAGAGCAACGAGGGGCTCTCTAGGTGGGGGATTATTACCTGCGGATGCAGTGTGTTCTAAACTGGTCCAGCCACCCAAGAGCTTCTGGATACCTATGATGACTCCATGTTTTGACACATTAATAGATGATGACACATTAAATCTTGTGATTTGCAGCTAGCATTTTGAAAAAAACAAAATAGAGTTTAAAAAAATTAAACCAAAGTATTGCAGATCCTAAAGGAAAGGATTGTTTTGTGAAACTCTGGCTTCCGTGTGTGTGTGTGTGTGTGTGTGTGTGTGTGTGTGTGTGTGCATGCGCGCGCACTCTTACTTTGTGCCAATGGGTGATGGAAATTTTTACAATGGTTCACCTGTAAAGCATTTGGAAAATCATTGCTCTGATTTACTACCAGAGAGAGAGGTCATTTTATTCAATTACTCTTGTAAATCATGCATTTAACCTTAAAACGACAGGCATGACAACAATAAAACAGTCAACAAGCTCTTGGGGGCTCAGGAGTTGGAAGGTAGCAGAGTTGAGGAGAGTGAAAATGAAAACTCCTGGATTGGTTTCACTACTTGTAATTGGATTCCTGGAATTCCCTTCAGTCTGGGAAATGGCATCCCTGATGGTAGGTGTGAACTGCAGTGTGGGGGCTGGTTAGGAAGTGGGTGTAGAAGCCCAGGAAGATCTGCCAGCCTGTGTTGGTGAAGGTGAGGGCCCCAAGGTGCCAGCTGCTGGTCTTACTCAGGGAGCAGCTCTGGTCTGTTTGAGAAAGCGGCTCCCTAGGAGTCAGACAGACTAAGCCAGTGGGGCTGCCATTTCCTAGCCTTTGGCTCAAACCTTTGTTTCTTATTTGAACAAGGGGCATAAAAGCTACTTCATGACTTTGCTGTAAAAGTCAAGTGGAGTAAGATGGCATTAGCATAACAAATGTGAGTTCCTGCCATTCACCTAGTGTTGCTGGGCAACAGAACAACCCTCCAGCAGGAAGGCCCTTATTTAGCCATCCTGACCCATAGACAAGGGGAGGGAATGGGAGCAAGATGGGAGTGGCTGGGAAGCCAGGTCCAGGGCTGTGCACAGCGCCCCCCACCCCCCTCACTGGCAGCTGCCATCCTCCTGGGAACATCCAGGCCTGGGCAGTGAAGTCCGTGTGCTTTCCCCTGACTCTGGATGCTGCCACATCACTCCCAGAACCTGCCTGTTCCCCCTGGTCTCAGTGCCTGGCTGAGAGCAGCTGTCATGGTTGCCGACTCGTCCTATACTTCGGGCCTCTACCCTTTGCACGGGAGGAGTCCACCTCTGTCCCCCAAGCAGGAAGAGATTGCTGCAGGCCACCCTGGCTCAGGAGCCCCATAATCACGTGTGACTACCCCACAGGTGGAAGATATCACCGCCAGCCACGAGGCGGCTCTCCTGGAGATGGAAAATAACCACACGGTCGCCATCGCCATCCTGCAGGACGACCACGACCACAAAGTGCAAGGTAGGTGCCAGGGCCTTTGTCTCAGCTGTCCTGCTGCGGAGGCAAGGACACTCCTTCCCCTCTTTCTCTTCTTGACCTTTCTTCTTTACTTTCTCCCTGCTGTGACCTTTGCACTGGTTCCAGGATGCAGGTAACTGCCTCTTTCCTCTGGAGCTATTGCTTTCCACCTTGCCTGGATTCTGAATCCCTGGGGAGCTGGGAAAGGTGATACCCCCGGCCCTGGGTTTCTGCTAGCCGGTAAGGGTGCAGCCGGGGCTTCAGGAGTTTCTCAAGTCTTCAGTGATTCTAGTGGGTGGCCAGCTTGAAAACCACCATTCTAGGCCCTCCCTGGTGGCACAGTGGGTTAAAGCACAGCACTGAGAAGCTAAAACCACTTCAGCATGAGTTCGATCCCCACCCCAAGGTGACCCACATGGCGCGGCAGACCTCCCCTGACCCGCCTGCTGCTCCCCTCAGCAGTGTACTTCGTCAGTCGGCCTGTTCTACTCCCCATTCTGTCTCTGGTGAAGTCTCTCACCACCCCTGCATCTCTGGCCTGTACCCCAGTTCTGTATGTAGAAATAAATAAATCTTTAAAAAAAAAAAAAAAGAAAGAAAGAAAAAGAAAATCACCATTCTAGAATCAGCATGGAAATCCTGGGTTTTATGTGTTTTGTGCCCTTAAAAAATTAAATAGCAACCCCCATATGGCTACACTGCTCCCACATTTTTGGTGTTCGTGGGGTGAGAGCAGCATCTGCATGGATCTGGGTCTCCCCCACCTCATCTGCCACCTTCCAGGAGGGCTTAAGGAGAGTCTCTGAATCTTTCTTTTGACATTTTTGTAACTTGGAATTATCTTTAGATACTCATGGTCTTATATGCGGTGTAACAACAGCAGCAGCATTTGTTAAGTACCGCTAAGATTTTCCCTAGCAAAAGCAGCTTTTAACACTTCGAACACATATTTATATTAATATAACCATTAGTTTTTCAAATCTCCTCCCTTCACTTTCTTTCCTAGTTTGCTGGTGATTAAAAGTATATTAAAAACAAAGAAATTTTAATAATGGGTTAACAAATTTTAAAATCTTAAGAAGTATATGTTTTATTGTTTTCTCTTATTTTTATATGTTCTTTAAAAACAATGAAACTTAACAATGGGTTAATATATTTTTATTTGAGAATGTATATAATTTTAATTATCATTTAATGTTCTAGGTAACTATGAACAAACAATGGGTTTGCTCAATAGTCACATTCTTGCCTCCCTCTGGCACTAAGCCCACCACCTCTGCGAACTATTAGTCCATGAAATAGCCCAAAGAGTGATTAGTTGCCTGAGAACTAGTTAAATGTGTCACCTGAACCCTGCCAGCTTGCCTCACACTGCAGCTGTGCCAGGGGTTGTAACTGTGAGTAGCAATAGGCCTGAGTTCTGTTGCTTCCTGTCACCACCAAAAACCAATGAGCGGAGACAGAAATTGAATCTATAAGTACTTTTACTTATCAGACCTCCGGCCATCGATCTGAACAAACAGCGGGCCTAACACCCTGATATCTCATCCCAACCTGGCCTTTCTATACTGGGATAGACAAAAACAGTCATAAGCAAACAGCCTGTCAGAACAGCCAACAGCCCGTCACAATTTATGTTTCTGGTGTTCGTCACATTCAGCCCCCTCCACTTATCTTGACCCGGGTACATCCTGGCCTGCTGATCCTGGTTATTTTCTTCAGGCATCATCAGAGCAGGAATCTCAGTTTAAAGTAGAAGAAAACATCATTAGTCATAAAGTGTGTATTCCTATACTAACCCTTTATCTCTTCTCTATCTCACTAACCCTTTATCAGAACCACCTAGAGGGGTGTTTTTAATTCTGATGTGTAGATTTCACCATTGTAATACAAGTTTAATTCCTCTGGGGTACAACCCAGACATCAGGATTTTCTCTTTTTTTTTTTTTTTTGTATTTTAAAAGGACAGGTTTATTAGGAAAAAAGGGGAAAAGAAAAATAGAGGCATTTGCACAGGTGGGCAAGAGCTGCTGCCTTTGAAAGGTACAAGTTAAATGGACTCATGCATGTCTCAGATTTGCAGTCCTGGGACAGAAATGCTGGCTCTGGGAGTTTTTAGAGCTCCCCAGGTGATTCTGATATGCAGCAAAAATTTTAGGTCTGTAGTCTCATAGCACAGAATAGCCTATGGCCTTAAAATAATGAAATGTGTTAGGGGTACAGACATAAAAGCCTTGGTTTAAACCATCTCCGGAATAGACACTGATTTTTTTTTTTTTTTTTTTTAGATATATTTGTTTGTGCATATAAGAGCTGTGGTGTAGGCCAGAGGTAAGGGGTGAGAGGGTTCACCAGGGACAGAGGGGGGAGCAGAACAGGTGGAATGGCTGAGATACACTGCTGAGGGGAGCAGCAGGGAGACAGGAGAGATCCGCTGCACCATGTGGGTCACTCCCTGGCCAGGGATGAAACTTGTGCTGCAGTGGCTGCAGACAGCTTCACAGTGCTGAGACTTAACCCCTGGTGCCACCAGAAAGGCCCTAGACATTGAGTGTTCATTTAGGGTATTGGGTGATCTAAAGATGCCCTAAAATCTAGCACTGCGCCATAGGGAAATAGTCTCTGGAAAAGGAATGTAAATACAATATGCCACGGTGTTGCCTTTTGTTTCTGGATCTTGCTATGAATAGACCTGGCAGATTTGTCTGACTAATGAAATCATATTTAGATGCCATGTCCATGGCCTTTGAATTATACATAATGTTAAGAGAATGAGGCATACATAATGGTAGCTAAAAAAAATTCATTATTGTGGTCAGGATGATGCTTGCAGTGACTACTAAAACTAATCATTTAGACAGCGGCAGATGTACCAGAAAGCCACATGGTTTATGTCAATGAAATCAACACAAACTTTTTTTCCAAATGTAAATTCCAGCTATAGCAATTGTATTTCTTAGAGACCTTTACCATCATTAGTTAAGAGATATGGGTCAATGGAAAGCACAGAGTTTTCCTAATTGCAGCTCATACCAGCCAGAATGATAATTGCTGGTCTCCAGTACTTCCCTGCTCCAAGCATATGATCCAGGCTGATTAATGAGACCTTTCCTCTCTCCAGTTACAACACGAAAACAAATTGCTTGTGTAGCCAGAATAGGATGGGCTTTACCCAGCTAATAAGACTGTTCCCATCTGGAGGAAAATAGAATCCATTTGCTTAATAACTCTTACATGACATCTCTTTCTGCCGAACTTGCAAATTATCATTGTGATGACACTTTTCAAGAATTAGAATTGTTTCAAACTCTCCAAGAGGATCCACTTCCTTCCTCTGTCTGAGTGTGTTTGCTTCGACTCTTTGCTCAAGCAAATCCGAAGCTGTGGTTTTCCAGGGTGGGCCAGCAGGCCACTGTGCCCTGCAGACTCAGCTGTGGCCCCTAAGCATCCACTCCCAGCAAGCCCAGGCTGCAAGGGACTGCCTGATGGAGGCTCCACTCTCCTGGGACCGCTCCCTCCTTGAGCCCACATCTGGGCTGCTTCATGGAAAGAGTGATCCAGGCAGAAGAAAATGCAGATTTAACATCGACTCCCCAGTTATTTCACCATCAAGATAAGTTAGAGAATCAGTGTGTGCTGGGAGTTGAGACGGATTGACCCAGGATGTTGGTACAACCGGGGCTAGAAATGTGGAAGAGAGAGAGAGAGAGTGTGTGTGTGTGTGTGTGTGTGTGTGCGTGCGTGCAAACACATGTGCCCTGTTTGCTTCCCTCCCTCATTTTTCACCTCTTTCCCACTTTCTTTTTTTCCTTTCCTGTTCCCTTTCTCTTTCTTTCCCCCTAAATAACATTACATACAATTTCAAACTAACAGAGGAGTCGCTTTAGGCTTAAGTATACCAGTATCCCTCAGTCCCTAGTCTTAGCCTGGCAGAAGAGTCTTGAGTCTTGTTTGGTCCTTTTTCCAAGAAAGAACAACTTAACAATGTGATATCTTCTTTCCAGAATTGATGTCTACCCATGAACTTGAAAAGAAAGAATTGGAAGAAAATTTTGAAAAGCTGCGACTGTCATTACAGGTTAATATTGCCAACTCCAATATCATAGTGGTAGCCTCATCATTCCTGCTACAAACATTTATCAAGGACACACATGCTGGGTGCTGTGGTAAGCATGGAGTCGAGGTCAATGAGGCATGCTCTGAGCAATCGACTGTCTGCTCAGAGTGCTATCGTGCATAGAACTCAAGGTAACACATGAATGTTACCAAATGAATACTGCCACCAGTGAGCCCCGCAGGACTCCAGGAATTCTATGGTCAGGGGAGTAAGAAGTTGTTTGAAGAAAGAGAAGATGTGGGGGGAGCCTTCCAAGCAGAGGGAATGGCATAAGGAGGGCTCTCAAGGACACATGTTACAGAATATGTTCTGTGGTTTATAAGAAGGACTTTCATTCCTGGAGGTGAGTGAGATGAAAAGAACTTCTCTTCCTCCCACTGCTGACTTCCAGAAAATGTGGGTCTCCATGCCAGGGACTTACCTGCCTGACTTCTTTCTGACCTTATAGGGAGAAGGAAGGGTCTCCTGAATCTCATGTGCTTCCCACCAATTGCTTCCATGGACCACCTCAGCTCTCAGAGGGGCTGCTGGGAAGTAGGGGTGAGGGTGTTGGCCCCACTTCCACTCCAGATCTCATAGTGAGATGATTTATTTTTTTAATTGATTTAATTTTTTAGGGACACACATCTGGAGGTGGGAGATTTTGCTCTTTCAGTGACACACTTTCTCCTGACAATTTTCATTGCCAAGAAAAGAACATGAGTTGTGTCGTCACTACTGAATGTTCTAGTCACAAATGGGAAACTGTTGCTGCCCCACCCCCCATCGGCCCCATCAACCCATAGACAGTGTGCCTGTGTCATCCTCATAGGCTTACTCTGGGCAAAGTAACCCCAAATCACTCAGGTACCCTAACATCCCACACCAACAGGTACACCACCCTCAAGGAATGCAAACCAGGTACATGACAAAGAGTCACACACAATGTTACAAACCCCCATCTGTCCAAATCTCAAAGCAGTGAGCATTTTGTTTCCCTGAGTCTGCCCCTGAGGTCAGCAGACCTGCAGGCTTTAGGATATAACTCTCCACAGACAGAAGTCACGTGGCCGGGGACTGCAAGCTGCGAGGAAATGGCATTGTTTGAGTCAACCTCCTCAGGCTACGGGCCAAGAGAAACCGGTTTGGTAGTAAGAGAGTTAGCTCTGGGTGTCATCCTCACTGTGCCTCTTCCTAGCTTTTAAGTTGGGGGCTATTATGTAAACTCTCTAAGCCTTAGTTTACTCATCTGGAAAATGGGATTGACAGCAGTGCTGGTATCACTGCTGTGCAGTGGATAGCACTGGCAGTCTAAGTGCTGATAAGTGAAAGCTACTGCTATTCTAGTAGTTTCTTTTTCTTTTTTTTTTTTTTTTAAGAGTTATTTATGCATAGAGAACAGGCTAGAGAGCTGGGGCAGTGAGAGGCTTCAGCAGAGACAGAGTGGGGAGTAGAACAGGCAGATCGACGAAGGTCTGCCCAGGACATGCCGATCATCTCCCGGGCAGGGGGATTGAACTCGTACTGAAGCAGCTGCAGCCAGCTTGCGGTGCTGCATCCTAACCCGTTGCACCACCAGGGAGGGCTGCCTATTCTAGTCATTTCCAGCAGAGATTCCTTACTGCTGTCAGCCTTGTCATTGATATTGTCATGCCCTGGCTTGCTCCTCAGTGGACCATGAGGGGCCAGGTCACCAGCGGGGTCTTTGTGCCTCTTCGTTTGACATAAAGAGGATCCCCAAGGTGAAGGCCAGCCTGTCCTGTGCGGTGGCTCGGGCACTGTTGTGTGTCTGTTGCATCTATTTTGAGGAAAGGTGAATAAGGTGGAAACATCACAGTGTGACATTTTAGCTCCATGCCCCGTGGTATGTACTGATGACTTTTTCATTGATTTGTTTGTTTGTTCCTCTGAAGAGAGGCTTGAACGAAACGCTTCCTCTGACAAGGCTGAGAGGGTTTGTGTAGAAGCCATGTAGCAATACAGTCATTTTCATGCTATTTCTAGAAGGGAACGGAGTTAGTGCACTGGTGGGCACGGAGCCTGACTGGGGTTGCCCTGGGCTGTGATTTACATTCCCCAGATCGTGTGCATACAAGCTGCCACTGATAACTCTACTGTCCTGATGCACTGGCATTTCCATGTAATGGCACTGGAGGGCTTTTTTTCCTTAAATGTGCATGAGAAATAATTGGAAACAGCAGAAATAAAAAAGGAACCTGCCAAGGGTGGTTTGCACAACAGGTCTCCTGCCACGATAAAGAAAGCAGTCAAGCCAGCCTTCCTTCACGGCAGTGCTGATATAAAGGATGGTGTCATTTACATCCCCAGCTCCTGATACTCGATGCAATGAGGCCAATTCTCTTGCCAGAGGTTTTCATGGGAAGTTCCTAGTCTGGCCCCTGTGTTTTAATGTAACACAGATGGTGAAATTGCATAGAGGACTCTGAAATACTCATTGTGAAAGCGGCACCCTCTCTCACTTTGCTTGAGCATCAAAAGAAAGCCTGTTCTGGCACCCATGGCTGGCTTTCGTGATCAGTCACTCCTGGGGTTGCCAGGGGAAGGGTCAGCGTAACACATCTGCCCTGAAAGCCAGGGACAGGGCTTCTCAAGCATGCCCTTCGGCCTCCACAGCAATGGCTGTGTGCCACAGCTGGTGTGTGCTGGGCTCAGGCTGATGAGGGGAGTGCAGCTGACCAGGCAGGACAGAGCAGGACGTGCAACCCAGCCATGAGGCCCAGAAAGGCTTAGCAGAGGATGTGAGCTGGGAACAAGACAGAGTCTCTGAGGAAGGCTCTGCCAACATGAGGGCTGGATATAAAATTAGGGGTACATGAGCAGAGAATATAAAAGTAGAGGTTGTGCAGCAGGACCCCAGGTGGGGAGATAAGAAAGGTTGATGGGGAAGGACATTGTGCATGTTGAGGGTGGCGGGGTTTCATATAGGGAGGTGACAGTTTCAGTCAGCTTTACACATTCAAAAGCTCCCCCTGACTCCAGTATGTGGGCTAGCGGGGTACAGCTCAGGTGTCACATCCAGAAAGAGCCAGTGGGATGACACCAGATAGGAGGAGTGCAGTCGGGAGAGCCTGTGCGTTCCAGAAAGACAGTGGAGTAGCAGGGCTGATCCCTGACCTGACTGTGTTTGGTGGCAGGTGGGTCTTGGGCTGAGAAGTCAAGGATGGGTTTCTGGAATGAACTTTACACACAATTTTTTTTTGTAAGGTAGTTTTGTGGAGAGGTAGACCCAATTTTTTAAAAAGATACATTTATTTATGCATACAGAACTGGGGTGCAGGCCAGAGGTTCAGGGGAGGTGAGAGGATTCACCAGAGACAGAGTGGGGAGCAGAACAGGCAGATGGACGAAGCCCACTGAGGGGAGCAGCAGGCGAGACAAGAGAGGTCTGCCGCACTGCACCATGTGGGTCACCTCGGGGGCGGGGATCAAACTCGCACTGAAGTGGCTGTGGCCAGCTTGTAGTGCTGCGCTTTAAAACCTTTGCGTCACCAGGGAGGCCCAGAACAGCAACAGTTCTTCATTGTCCCTTCTAGAGTGGGGGCTAACGGCCCCCTGGGCCAGGTGTTTCTCAGTTATTAGTGACGAAATACCCTCCCTTGCCAGGCTCTTCTAATTGGGGAGTAGTAGGGACAGAGACGTCTTCAAGGTGCTCAGAGGAGGACCACTTCTTTCTCTCTCTCTCTCTCTCTCAGACACACACACACACACACACACACACACACACACACACAGTGCCTTTCATAGCACTGTTTCCGTGTGATATCTTCTTGAACACGGCACCAGGATGGGAGAACAGAGGGGAGCAACCTGCTCTCCATGACACCCTTTGTGTGCTGCCCCATGTGAAGAGAGAACCATGTAACTCTGATCTTACCCTTGAGGAGTAGCCCAGATGTAAGCTGAGGGCAGAGGCAGAGAGGACCTGGGTGGGGAGACAGAACACTAGTGGAAGGTGCATGAGTGCCACGTCAGAGCACTTCGCCTTGGGCGTGGTGGGGTTCCCAAGGGGAACACCTTTGACCTGCTTCCCAGGCTGCAACACCTGCAGTAGACCAAGCTGGATTCTTGTCATCACTTACAGGACCAAGTGGACACGCTGACCTTCCAAAGCCAGTCTCTGCGAGACCGGGCCAGACGCTTCGAGGAGGCTTTGAGGAAAAACACAGAGGAGCAGCTGGAGGTAGCTGTGCTTTCCAGGCTTCCTCAGCACACCCAACCCCTGCCCCAAAGACATTCATGTTTGACCTTGCCTCAGATGCCCAGGGTTGCCTCAGGGTCTCCCCAAGACAGATTCTCTGATCTGCTGCTAAAGCAACCGCTGGTCAGGATCTCTCTGGGATTTTATTTATTCATTTGTTTAATTTTTATAAACAACTTCTTTATTTATGCATACAAGAACTGGCTTAAAGGCCGAGGTAGAAGGGATTCACCAAAGACAGAGTGGGGGCAGAACAGGCATATTGTACGACAGGAGACCTCTGCTATGCCATGGGGGTCACCGTCCTGGCTGGGGATCAAACTCATGCTGCAGGGGCTGCGTATAGCTTCACAGTGCTGTGCTTTGATCCCTTGTGCCACCAGGGAGGCCCCTCTCTGGGATTTTAAACAGGGTCCTGTCAACACCTCTCCTGAGGCAGAGGACAGCGGTGGGTTCCTCCATCTAACTGTTATTCTTGCCAAATTCCACACCAATCCTGACCACTGCCTCAGAGCTCTTGTGATAAGCAGAACCTAAGGACTTTCTACCATGGCCATGGCCTCCCATCTGCCCCAGCCCCACTCCCCCCACTTGGGTGTAGACAAGCACAGGACATCCCGCTGAAGTGTGAGTCAGTAGGTCTAAGGGAACTTTTTCCAGAAAAGTTGGCAAACTTCCTTCCCTCTAATGTAGGGTTGCCAGATAAAATACATGACACCCTGTTAAGTCTGAATTTAAGATAAAAGAATTTTGTAGAATGTGAATGTTCCATGTGATCATAATCATTGTTTATCTGAAATTCAAATTTAATCAAGTACCTTATATTTTTTGTTGTTTTTATTGCACCTGCCAACCTTACTTTAATATTTCTTTTCCTAAAATAGCTTTTCTGCTTTTTAAACACTCTGCTCATTTCTTATTCATGGGCTGGGGTGGGAGCGCCTCTCATGGCCCCAGCCTATAAATCCCCACCAGTTTTGGAATGAAGACATCCGGTGGCTATCAAGGCAATGAAGGATTTACTTTTTCCTCCTAGCATCCCTTTCTGGGGTGGGCTGGTAGCTTCGGGGGAGTCCAGCATCCAGACTTTTCAGGGGATGATGGCTTCTCTCCTGTTCCTTGAGGAGCTGAATTTTTTTTTTCTTCGTCCATTATATTCATTGATTGGATGGATATATTTGTTCATTTTTTATGTCATTTTTAAAAAATTTTATAATAGTTTATTTTTACATATTTTAGCATCCCCAGAAAGGGATGCTAGGAGGAAAAAGTAAATCCTTCATTGCCTTGATAGCCACCGGATGTCTTCATTCCAAAACTGGTGGGGATTTACAGGCTGGGGCCATGAGAGGCGCTCCCACCCCAGCCCATGAATAAGAAATGAGCAGAGTGTTTAAAAAGCAGAAAAGCTATTTTAGGAAAAGAAATATTAAAGTAAGGTTGGCAGGTGCAATAAAAACAACAAAAAATATAAGGTACTTGATTAAATTATTTTGACATATTTTTGTGCATTTTTCCATCTCAGTTGCAATCCCCGTGGGCTTCCCATCACCAAATCACCCATGTGCCATCACCATAGTCCAGTGCATTTCCCTCCCTCCCCTGTTTTTGATCCCATTCCCCACTCCACCCCCACAAAATGTCTCTAGTATATAGCTGTTCATCATTATCATTATGTTCTCACCTGTTCCGTTATATTCCTGCTATCAGAGAAACCATCCGGTATTTTTCCTTTTCTTTCTGGCTTATCTCACTAAGCATGATCTTTTCCAGAGGAGCTGGATTTTTAGAAATGTTCCCTGCCAGACTCGTGGGCATCTTTAGCAGGCAAGGGGCAAGGTGGTGGGCATTTTCTTGCCTCTTGGGAAGCCTGCTCGTGATAGCTCCATTTCACTGATTTTAGAAGGTGGACGAAGCCCAACCTTGGCCGGGGCCTCTGGTAACTAACTCGTTGTCTTCTTCCCTGCAGATCGCGTTGGCTCCCTATCAGCACTTGGAAGAAGATATGAAGAGCCTGAAGCAGGTACTAGAGATGAAGAATCAGCAAATACACCAGCAGGAGAAGAAAATTATCGAGCTGGAAAAACTGGTGAGTAGTTCTGTTTGACAGCATGGGGCCTGGGCCCCTTTCCTGCCCATCACTCACAGCTGAGCATAAAATTCCATAGCTGTGTCCAAGGCCTTTTGGGGGAGCCAGGAGCTCCCTTGCAGATTCTCAGAGGTGGCCTCATCTGGTACAGCTCTGGGGCCTTCCTCATAGCCCGCCGATTAACCGCCGCCTTCCCCAATCCATCGCTCTGTGTCCTCCCTCCTCTGGCCAGCACCCATGGGCCGTCATGATGCGTGTGCCAGTGGTGGGAAGAGCACTTTGCACAGTGTTGCTCTTTCTGTCTGACAGCAATCCTGGAGAAGACATACATGTGCACCTGCTTTCACAAAGGTGGAGGTGAGACTTGGGGAAGGGCCCTGTCTCTCCAGCACAGTTAGGGTACCAACCCAGTGCTCTGAATCTCTGCCCTCACCACACTCCCTGCCTTACCTTTTAGTCTGGCTCCCTCAGAACTAGCAAAGGATGCCTTTCTGGGTGAATGGAGTGCCCCAGAGTTCACGCTTCAGCCCTGCAGGCTCGGGGCTGAGCTGAGAGACACAGAGGGGAAACGTATGCCCTAGGCGAGACTCTTTTGGTGTGGAAGCTAACCCGAAGGTCTCAGATTCTTACCTTTTCTCTTATTACAGTTTTTCATAACTTTTGCTACTATGAATATAGAATATATTAGAGGGAATTATAAAATAAACAAAAATGAGAAAATTCACATCAGTTAGGATGGGGACAGATTGGAGCGAGTGTGTAGCACAGTATCCTGGGTCATGTCGACCACCTACACCTCACAGCAGCCCAGCGCGCCTCGCTACCCCAAACAGGCCAGGGCTTGACCAGCAGGGCTCCCACTGTCCTCCTCCAGGATAGACCCTCACATACGCTTGTTTCACCCCACAGCTGCCCCCCATAAGGTTTTGGATTTATTTGGCTGTTTTTAGCCAGGCTTTCTGCAGCATGCATGACTTCTCATTCCAGAAACATTTCCAAGCAGAGAGCTGATTCAATCACTCCATTTCCTTGGAGCAAAGATAAGGGCTGACAGAGGAGCCTGGTGAAGCGCCTCGATACAGGCCAGGCCTTTGTTTCCTGAGCTTTATTCATGGAGTGGTGACACTTTCCTTTAAGGATTAGCTATACTAATAGTGAATTTGTCACATTCTTTTCAAAAAATCATTTATTTCTAAATTCACCCTAGAATGAAATTACATTTCACATAGGTCTCAGGCCTTCGGGGACGCACTGACCAAGGCAGGAATGGCCTAAAACTGCCGGGGAAATGGCCATGTTATTTTCTGATATTTTGCCAAGACAGTCTTGGGCTTTGTGTTCCTGGCTACCACGGCCTCAGAAGGAAAACGTGTCCACGTTATATTTACTTCCACCCCTTATTAACTCAGAATGCCGTGTAGTGCCTGCTTGCCGGCTCAGAGGTGCTGACATGGCACACTTGAAGCACCAGGGGACCAGTTAGCCCAACTCAATCCCAGTGGTGCTCATACATTATCTCTGACAATGGTGAGGTCTGGGGACACGCACTATAAGACATGTATTCTACACAAGAAACCAACATAAGCACAAACGTACAATGTGTATAAAGTTATACACACACACCCTCCGGTATTTTCTGTTCTATTAATTTTATTTGAACAAGAAATGCTACTCATGTCCTTCTACCTGGTTTTATACCCTAGAGATTGCAAGCTGTGATTTGCAAACACTGATCATGATAACCCAGAAGCTCCACTATCTATCTTAAGGTCTTGCTGAAAAGTCTTACTACTGCATCCTTTATAGGCAGAAAAGAACATTATCCTAGAGGAAAAGATCCAAGTTCTCCAGCAGCAGAATGAAGATCTCAAAGCAAGGATTGACCAGAACACTGTTGTCACGAGGTAGGCGGCCTAAGTGTCTCCTTACAGCGACTCATTTTTCAGGTAGCGTCCATGAGCATCTGTTATGAGCAGTAGTGGTGTGGGATATGAAGGATCCGAAGATGAGAGTTGTGGCCAGGGTGCTCCAGGGCTTCGAAGTCCATGATGGCAGGCAGATGTGCTGACCAGCATGTGCAGTGGGGGAAGGCAGCTGTGGGCGCGGTGACCCAAGCCAGGGCTGGGGGGTCACGGCACTGTCCCTGTGCCATCCCTAGGGTCAGCTGCCACTAACTCAACCTCCTCAGCCCTTGGGGCTCCTCCACACCGGCTCCCCATTGCCCGCCTTTCCTCTTCAGCCCTTGACTTTTGGTCTGTCCACTGTACACATGCCTCTCTGAAGCCACCAGGGGTTAGTGGACATTTCCGGGAACAAGGACACCTGAAAATCATGCCCCAGCATGGACAGCTGGTCACTGGATCCTCATTTCTCCCTTTCTTGCCTGTACCCATTGCCTAATCAATCTCCAATTAAGTGCCTTCCAGCATGATTGCTACTTGATTGTCTTTTACTTACCCCCTGCAGACAACTGTCCGAGGAAAATGCTAATCTCCAGGAATATGTTGAGAAAGAAACCCAGGAGAAGAAGAGATTGAGCCGGACCAACGAAGAGCTACTTTGGAAACTCCAGACTGGGGACCCAACCAGTCCTGTTAAACTGTCCCCCACATCCCCGGTTTACCGTGGCTCCTCCTCGGGACCCTCCTCTCCAGCCAGAGTCAGCACGACGCCCAGATGACGCCACCCCGCAACCCGTAGGAGCTGCGTCTCCTGTCCACCCACTGGTTCCAACTCGAGGGGTATTGAGCAGGGGCTGGCCACGGCTGCCCTGCGCGCATGCTCAGTAGCTGCATACCTGCACCCTAGGCGGAGTGTCTTCTGGTCCCCGTGTAAGACTGTCTTGGTGTCGGAGGAAAGTGTTACCAGTAGTGTCGATGTGCAAACGTTTGACCGTAGGTAGTCAAGAGAAAGAACCAAATTTCACTTGTTTTTGAGCAATGAACTTTCACTGCAGAATTTCAGGTTAGTTACAAACAGCTCAGTTTTGAATATACATTGAATAATCATTGTGTACTGCACCAATATGTGTGTATATTCAGACAGATGGATATACACAGGCGGCGATTCTGATTTGCATTTTTTATAACACGAAGTGCTGACATATTTTGATGAAGGTCAGCATTTTTCTAACTTGTGCCTAAGAATTATTGGGAAATGAAAATGCATTTCTACCTAGCTTCCCAGGAATATTTCTACCCAAAATAGAAAAAGGAAAAAAAAAAAAAGATACAGAGAAGAAGCGCCTTTCAAACTACCACCAAGTGGTACTCTATTTAACACAAACACCAGCGATTTGTGAACGGTAACTGCCTTTGCAACAATCAGCTTCTTAGTCAACATGATGTGAGGTCACTGTTATTCCAGTCACAAATTTTAATTATTAATATTCCTGTCATGAGTGAATAAGAGAGGGAGAGAGCAGTGGGAAACCCTGCAGGGGTTAGCATTTTGTAGCTGTTACTTATGACCACGAGCCATCTCTAGTCTTGTAAACACAAGTTTGGCTTCTTAAATGGCATCTTGGAATCTGTCCTTAAGGTATTGCAGCCCTGGGAAAATATGGAAGAGCATGACCTTCTAGAGTGAGGGTTAGGATGACCTTGGCGCTCGACCCTCACAAGAGAAAGCTGATAGGGTCTGTATTTTGAATAAGCACTGAGGAAGAAAACATCTCTGGAATTGCATCTGGTCTGCTCTGATGTGATGCTGTAAGTGGTCAACCCACCAAAATAGGACCCTCAGACCCCCCACTTCATAAACAGCCCCCTCTTCAGTTTGGTTCTGTAACTCAACCCCATCACAGTACATTCAGATGACTCAGGGGTTCTAGCAGGAGCTCCCAGAAAACCAACTCTTCTGTGCTGGGAGGATCAGTTCCAAGCTTTGCTAGGTCATCACATGTCCTCCCAGAAACACAGACAGGCTTTCTGCTGGATGGTGGAGCTGTGCCACCGCTGACAGTGGTCCCCTTTTAGACCTAGGACGTTCTTGCCACCTTGGGGCCCAGTGAAATGGGCTGCCGGCAGTCTCGGCTACTGGGCTGGCATTTGTTTCTGAAATGATAGAATTAGAATGTGAAAAAGGTATTCTTGTAGTGCTGTGGAAGATTAGGAGCATGACACACAGAGAAAGTAGTTTTAACAGTTGAAATAATGATGATGATGCCTTTGTTTCCTGTTTGTAACACTCTCTCCCTTGAAATTGGCCCAGCGCTGGGCTGTCTTGGAGAATGCGCAAGGCAAGCAGGTCACAAGCAAGGCCCCACAGGCCAGAGCCAGGGAGCAGGGAAGGCAGCCCTTGAAGGGGTGACCAGGGCCCCACCTGTTTGGTGCACACGTGACCATGCAGACACACCTGGTCTGTGTCCCTAGCATGAGTCCAGGTCAGGCTTCCTGGCCTCCAGTACATCTCATTTCTTGAAACCTCCTCAGGTCCTTGCCCATCCTGGGGACATACACCATAGACACACATTGAAGAAACATTTTTTGAGTGGCTCTGCATGACGCTGTGTTATTAAGTTGGGCATTCCACTAGAGTAGATCCTACCACGTTGACTAAATACACGATTATTTATTGTTTTAGCAGGCATCACCTGCAAACACAAGTTGGGCAGTAGTTCAGCTCTTCCAGTTAGAAACTCCTTCCAGAAGGGCACCTGCTAAATGCAGTTACACAGCAATACGGATTTCAGTGTTATGTTAGAATGTGGTACCGTGTGTTAGCCTATTGCAGTCAAAGTCGTAGTGATGCTAGAGCTAAGTAATCTTTCCTTAGGTGGACTAGGACTTTACCCTAGCAGCCCTGACCTTGGGTACGTGAGCCTTCCCACATGGCCCTGGATTCTTTCTGTCCCAGGACTCCTACCCCCAAGCAAATGGGGTGGCAGATGGCTGTGCCTCCCCCCACCCCCATCACTGCTTCCCACACACCATTAGGACTTGGAAATCTCTCACCCTGAAAGTTCCCTCTCCCCAGGCAGGAGCTGTTTCCTCCTCCAGACGCTGAGCCTCCCTGCCATCCTCAGACCCATCAAACCACACCCACCTCTCCAACTCTCCTCTGTGTTTGGGTACCCCTGCCCTCAAGCCACCACACACCATTCCCCAGGAAGAGATTTGGTTGGGTGTCAGGTCGCGGAGGGTGCTGGCGGGAGGTTCCACTTGCTGATTATCTGAATGGGGTCACACATTTCTCTGGCCCCTCCAGTTTCTGTGTTGCATATTTGTGTTTGAAGCATATTAAAATTCACTTGAGGGAGCCTCTGTGAGATGCCCTTGGTGTAACTAACTGTCCCTCTCAGGCTTAAGGAAATCCAGGCTGGGGAAGGGAGGCCAGGGAGGCCAGGGAGGTGTTTGGCAGGGTGGGCTCCTGTTCTAGGTGTGGGTGGGCAGTCATCGAGTCTCAACAACCCCCACCCCACTCCAACTCAGCAATCTGTGGGCCCCACACCCATCTTGCCAGTGCAAGATCTTCAGCAACCCAGACTGGATTTCAGGGAGCTCGGTGGCTTTGCTCTGCTCTTCAAGGCTGGTTGGGGTGGGGTGGGGTAGGAAAAGGGTGAAAAATAAAGTGTAATCCCTTCATCACCAACTTCAATTCAGATGTGGATGGGTGTATGCTCTACGTCTGCCCACTTGAATCTGGATCATCACGAGCTGTCTTGGTGGGGATGAGCCTTCCTGGGGTGGTGGCCACCATCACCATGCTGCAGACCTGGGCACCCGAGAGGCACTAGGACTCTCCCGAGAACACCAGCCCACATTGCAACCTGAAAGTCTTTGCTGCCCTCCTCCGCCTCAAGTTGAGCCAGCCTGACCCTGCACGCGCCTGCACTGTGGGTCACCAGAGAGATGACAAGTAGCTTTGCAAGGCATACAGGAGTGGCAGCAATTTTAGGGAGACTTGAGCACGTCAGCCCTCCTGAAGACTTACTAAACCAGAGTCCCTTTCCGGATACTCCTGGCTCGCTGAGGAATACTGCAGGACTCTCCTCTCTATCAGTCCTGCTTGCAGGTGGCTGAAACCTCCTGCCTACTATTAATGATCTGCTTGTCACCATCCTAACCTGTTAGTTTTTTAAGGGGTATCTAGTGCCCCCTGCTTTTATCATAGCCACCTTCCATTGTCCTGTGCCCCCATGTGAGGTCAATAAGGCCAGGGCCATGCTGCCTCCTAACAAAGAGCAAACCATGGCCTCAGGGTGGATGGGAGCAGCCAGCCTCAGCTTCCCATGGGGTGGGGAGGGAGGATGGCAGGGCCTGCAGCCCCTCTCACGGCAGCCAGCCAACACCTTCCAGATCACAGCTCAAGACACCTCCGTGCCGGTGCCTGGACCCAGGCTAGTTGTCACTGTGGGCTGGTGGGAGGCTTGGTGCATCTCTGCAGGAAGGGAGCCATGGAGAGAGGCTCAGGTAAAAGCCCTGGACCTGGTCCCCCGCCACCCGTGGACCCACCCCTGCCCCTGCTGGCATTGCAGGTAGAGCTCAGCTGCCTCCCACTGACGGCATCAGAGGGACTGGGCCCTCACCCATGCATGGCGATCAAAGCCCGCCACCCTACTCACTTGAGCGTGTGGGTCAAATGGTCAAATGCTTAAAAACGCATTGCCACTAACAGCTGGCAGACACGCTGTTTGGGTTGCTAAAATAAGGTGATCAGATCCCTTGCATTTGCTAAATAGATATTTTTACAGTCTGCTGCTTTTCCACCTCTTGTTTCAAACCTCCTTAACGCAGGACCTGGGTGTTCTGAGCGCACAGCCCCGTCCTGTTCCCTCGGCAAGATGGGAAGGTGTGATCAGGAGAGGCAGGCTAATCTGGCCCGCTGCCAAGTCTGTACCTCTTCCCAGCAGCGCCAGCGCCAAACTGGGGTCACAGTCTCTGCAGCCCACTCCCACAGTCCCTCCCCCCCTCCAACTACCGTGCTTGGCTAAGTGAGCACTGAATAAGTGACGTTGTTGCTTTAAGGAGTAACAATTTGAAGCATCCCGGGGGAGTTCAAACCATTCGGCTTCTGGTTTTCCCATCTCAGTCCTGATCCTCTGGGATTAGGTCGTTGGCCATACTGAGCAGCCCAGAGGAGCCCTTCATTAGTGAGGTGCGACATGTTTTGTTCCCTAAGCCTTTCCTCGTGTTGCATTGGTGACTGTGTTTATGAATGGTGGGTCAACTTAATTTGGTAAAACTAAACTGTTGCCTTTTGAAGGGCCACAGGTCACCTGCAGTTGGGTTTTCAACCCTCTCTCTCAACTAGGGGAAGGCTACACTAGAATAGGGGAATTCAGAGGACGCAGCCTGCCCCAGCCTGTAGCCTGTTGAATTCCTTCTGCGGCTGTCACGCTGTTAGGGGACAGCTATCGATTCACCAGATGTGTTCACAGCAAGCCACACAAAGGAAGACTTTCTCATACTATTGCTCATGTTATTTCCCCTCTATCCTGAACACATACTATGTGTGTCCAGACTGGAATCACTCCTCTGGCACTGAAGAGCCTGACCTGGTTTTCTAAGACACTGCTGAAACCCCACGGGGAGACGCCTCAGGCTGCCTGCAGGGCACCGCATTGGCCACTAGGTGGCAGTGTGGTGCCGCGGGAACCTGGCTGCACCTTGCCGCAGCTGAGGTGGGTTCTTAGCAAACACTGGCACCAAACCAGTAGAAACACCTGCCCGTTGTCATTTCCCAGTTCTAGGACCCGCTGGGAAATCTGAATACGTTGTAAGCGGACCCATCTGGTAAGCCAGGTTTTGAGCTCAAAAGCTCTTGCAAGTTTTCAGCAGAAACTTTAACAGTGAAGTTACCCCAGGGAGGGAAAGTACAAAGGAGACTCTGCCTGCCTGTCTGTCCCGGAGACGCTGCAGCCCCGGGGCAGGATGGGATGCCTCTTCCAAGCTCTTTGATCTACCATGCCATATTGTCAGCAGAGCACTTGTTGATTATCCTACAACATTCCCGAGCATGTGGGCGGGCTATGCATCAGCTGAGAAAACACAAAGGTTAGGTCTCATCTTGTTGGCAGGGCAAAGGAGCTTCCAGTGTAATCACTGAAGCGTCGTTTAGGAGATTAATTTCAGGACCACTCAACCAAATTTGCAACTAGTGCAAGAAAATGGGGGAAGTGAGAAATCAAGAAGTATTAACCACCACACTCCCTCCCCCGCCCGTCCCTGCTATGGTGCACCATCTTCTCTGAGGAACAAGCCATGTTTTGTGGAAGCGTGATTAGTGGAGCGGGTTTTGCTGCGCTGACAGCCAAGTCCTTCAGCAGATGAGCACCCTTTTGCTGACGGTCTAATGGCACCAAGACCTCTGAAACCCAAACCCAAGCTTAGTGTAGTGGGAGATGGGGACACTGCACCAGTGGACCCGCAATGAGGGTCCCAGGAACTCACTCCCTGGCTGAGGTAACAATGGTTGGGATGAGGATTCCCACTAGATGGCTGAAGGAAAGGGGGGCAGTAGGGGACCCTACTGTGGGAAAACAGCAAGAGCCCAAAGAGCAAAAGCCGGGGCTCTTCACGGGGCATTGCGATGCCTGGGGCCCAGTCTAGAGCGGGAATTCTTGAGATCACACAGTGCATACTGAAGCCACAGACAAATTTATTAGACTTTGCGGAAGCATCAGATAATGTACCACAAAATAGTTTGATTTTACAACATAGGGTATGGGAGGAAGTTGTCAATGTACAGTGTTAGCTGCAAAAATGGGATACAGAGGTTTCACATTTTTTAAAGGCAATGGAGAATAGTTATGCTCGTCTTTAAAATAAAAACAGGAGGGAGCAGCAGAGACCAACCTGATTTGTATCTAGCATCAGAATCATAGTATCACAATTATAAGAAACTATAAGAAAACTATTAGAAAAATAGAACATCAAACAAGCAAAAGATACTATACAATTTACATAATAAAAAACTCTTAACAAATGGCTTCAAGTTCAGTAGAAGAAAGTTTACTGGCGACCCCACAGTTCTCCAGGCTTGACCATGAACCAGCCCTCGTAGGGGCCTTGCACCTTGTGTTCCTTCAACCCATGGACATTGAAAGGCACAACTTAAGCAGGAAACTTAAATATATATTACAACTTCTCATGGGAAAATAAGTCCCAAACTTAAAAACCTTGTCATCTAGAGAGACGAAATCATACACTTTGTCAAAGACTGAACGTGTCTTCCTAGCCCTGCTTCCCAAGCCAGCCAGACAGGCCGAGGCTGAGAGAATCCCCTGGACTTTACAGCCACAGTCTCATCTCCCTGGGGGTCTTCAGGGCAGTCGAGGGGTGCTGGCGTGCTGCTGCCAACTGTGCCCCAGGCACGTGAAGGGTGGGCATCCCTGTGAAAGAGAACACTGCTGCTTGGTGACCAGAGGGGCCCCAGGGACTCTGGAGGTTTTTGTTTTGTGTTTTTTGCCTTAAAACTCCATCCAGCATCATTATTACCGTGATGAAGTACGGGATGTAGCTTCTCATGCCACGGGATCAATAAAGCATTTCATTGCCAAAACAGGTGGTAACAGCACCCTGTCTTCTCTCCACAAGGAGTGTGACGTACAATACCCTCATTGTGATGACAAACATATACTTTAAATTACACATAGCCAGTCTAAGTAACACGCATTTTGTTCCGTAACACATACATATTTAGTTCCAACGAAGTTCATGCTGATGGTTCTGCTGACATCACACCCCACACGCACGAGTGCGGCCGAGCCGGTCAACACGCCTCTCCACACAGTCACACCGAGGCGGGCCTGGCGTGCGGCCCCTCACGCGGTTCTCGGGCGTCAACAGAACCCTCAGCTGACAGACATGTAGAAATGGGATGTACACATCAGGAAAGGTGGGTCCTGGTGCATAGCACCAGGTATTCCCTCGTGTCAAGGCCTCCAAGTTCCTATGAACTCTCCAGGTTGGGGGGGTGAGGTCGTGGAGGCGTGTCCACGCTCACCTGAGGAGCCAGCCTGCCACCTGCAGTCAGTTCTGTCTCCATTGTCTGGCGGGAGGCCATGCCACGCAGGAAGGTAAAACCCGGTCTGAACGCCATAGTGGGGTCAGAAGAAGATCCCACGGAATGCCCTTCCCACCCAGCTCAGAAGACGGGCGTCCAGAGTCCGCTGGGTGGCGCACTTCATCCAGGGAGAAGAGGCTGTGCCCAAGGTGTAGAGCGGGTGTGTCAGGATCTGGGGGCCCGGGACAGCCCACGAGCTGACCATCAGGGGCGCACCACAGGCAAGAGGGCCCGTGTCCAAACCACGGTATGAGCGTCAGACCAGGTATCACCGGACACTTAATGAAACAAACCCTAAGTGGGGAAGGGGGAGATGTGGTGACTGCCAGAGGTCAAAGTTTCGCATTCTTTCTGAAATGCCCTGGGAAAGATGCTCCATCAGCCTTCCCTTGGTTTGGGAAAACAACGTTGGGATGAAGGGTAAGAACAAGTGATGTGGGATGTGCCGAGGCCCCTTGTAGAAGGGCACCAAGTCTCACCTGCCCACTACCCATCAGCTTTCCTGGAAAACACCCTACCTCTTGCATTTCAGGGGGCCCCAGGGGTCCTCTGGTGTCCCAGGGGTTCTCGTTTGCTTTGTGGGTTTTTATGCGATCATGGAAACACGAAGGGCAGGCATGACCGGAGGCGGGCGGGGAGGCCCACTCACCACCAGGGGGTCTCTCCACTGTGAGTCCCTGGCGCCAAGGCAGATAGGAGCAGACACCATCCTCCAGGGGCGTGTCTCTAGAAACGTGGAATTTCTGACATTGTAGGAAAATATTGGCCAAGTCATGAAACTGAGAGCCTGATTCTTGTTTTGAGGGTGGGGGTGAGGTTGGAGTTATGAGATGGGATGAGGTCGGAGTGATGCCGGTGGGTACTTTGGGTGGGTGTGGGTGGCAGGAGCGAAGGGCATCTTAAGCAGCAGCTCACTGACACTGTGGGGATCCCCGTGAGCACCCTTCCTTCCAGCACTGCCCTCCACTCAGAAACGCGGCCACTGCACAGAAGCTGTTTCAACAAGGGCCCGGCGACCACCCAACTGCCTGTCCTTCCCCACCTGTCCTCCGCCCCTGCCGGGCCTTCTCCAGTCACCAGGGTCATGCCTCCAGCGCAGCCCAGCAAGGCTTTGGGCCGAGGCCAGCAAGGATAGACTCGTTCTGCGAAACACTGTAGAGGGAAAGTCGCCTTTCCCCTCACAGAACGACAGACGCGGAGAGAATGAAACGTCAACTGTAAACACAATCTCTTGGATGCTGTCTCACACAGAGATTTCAGGCAGACGGAGAAAGTGGGGTGGGGGGTCGGGGGGGTAACTTCCCCTCCACTATTTCTGGAACCCCACTCAAGTTCTCTTTGTGGATGTGGAAAAATAACAGAAACATCAAGTAAACAGCTCAGAGAAGACAGCCCAAGAAAACAGCAGAGAGCTAAAACCCAACAAAATAAGTTAATATTTATCAAAATATTTTACAGCACCAATCAATATAAATTTCAATACCTTTCTTTGGAAATCCAAGCTTTGGGCTCTGATGATCCTCCCTCTGAAACATTCACAAATATTAGAAGTTTCTGGCAAGGTGACCATGGTCTGGGACAAAAGCTGAGCCCTTCCCCCCCTCCAGAGGATGAACCCAACCTTTTGGTTCTCCCACTCATCCCTGCCTTTCTCTCCAAGAACAGCCTGATGCAGAGGGAGGGCAAGTGCTGTCCACTCATCAAGCTTCTTTGACCAGATTTGTGTAAAGCCACAGGGGGACGAAATGGGTAGCTAAGCTTTAAAGCAGCATTTGTATTTTCTGCAGCCCGAAATATCTGCGTCTCTCACCTACCTTCAGCACGGGGCCCTCCTGTCTCCTGAACGACACTAACTGGAAGACGTAACAGCTGCTCTAGTTTCCTCTGCCCCCTCCCACCCCCGCCCCAGGAGTGTGTGACAGCCGCGGGTGCCCCGGCACCAGGGGCAGGAGTGTGCTGTGCACGGGACACCGGGTCAGCCGCAGGGCTGAGGGCAGCAGGAGGGCAGGGTGAGTTTCGCCCGTCTACAAATTTGCAGCATTTTGACAAAATACATGGGAGAGAAAGCAATATGACCCCAAGTTGTCTTGGGTGTGGGCCCCACACCTTGAGCAAAACACCAATACCATGCGGTGCCTATTTGTCCACTTTCCAAGTGAACAATGTTAAGTGCCACTTAATTTGATGGGGTGAGTCACAACCACTAACAGGACTTGACTGGATCACAGAGAAGACGGGGTCACAGATGGCATGTCATGGGTCAGAATGACCATGAGGACCTGCCATTATGACCTCAGAACAGGTGGACACCTGCCCTGAAATCTTAGAAGACCCAGGAAACTGACCTACAAGCATCAGAAGGCAGAATTTCATGAAAGAGAAAGACTCAGAAGGCATTCTAAGTCCTGCTAATGTGAGGCCGGCCCTTCATAAATACGTCGTCACGTTCCAGTTAGGCAGGACACAGCCAGTGGTGAGAGGCCAGAAGCAGCAACACCCGATGGGCCAGGAGGTGACACGGTGGCAAGGGCGTGAGGCACACGCGGCGTTCAGGCCCAGTCTCCCAGGCCTCGGGCCTGGCGCCACAGAGCGCGCCCTCTCCTCCTGCTGCTGCCAGACTGTGCTGAGGCCAAGGAGCAAAGGGAAAGGGGAGCAGCGTGGGGGGAGACCATTCTAACCCCCCTAACAACTCAGAGGGCAGGAGAGCACAAAGCCAGTTTTGTTTTCCTTTTCGTCAAGCAAATTGCTGTCCTTTGGCTCTGGGTAGAACTTCAGGAAATAAGACTAGTTTCGTGGTACGCATCTAGAGTCTGCTGTTTGGGGCTGAGCGGGGCGAGGCTACGTTAAGTGTGGAGTATGCACATTTCCAGTACCCAAACAGTCCTGGGGCTGGAGGGGGGGGGGGTGCAGAGCTGCATAGCCCCGTGAAAGGGAAGCCAGGGTTCCCAAGGTAAGAAAAGAAGGTGACCTCCTTTCTGCCTGAGGCCTCAGCAGGCAGAGAGGCACTGAGCTGGCGAGGAGGGGCAGAGCTGCTTTCTTGGTTTAAAGGGAAGTTGGCGACACAGTGGCCCATCACAGTCCCAGCCAGGGAGCTAGGGGCAGCCGGAGCCTGTGAGCCCCCGCAGAGCGAGTTCGGGCCGGACATGTGACTGTGGGCTGAGACTGCAGTTCAAGTAGTTGCACCTTCTGTTGCATCGGGGCTCTGTGGATGTGGGTGGCTCCTGCTGCACGGGTGGAGAGAAAGGTGCTTCCGTGCCACCCTGGGGCATCCCTCAGGGCTGCTGCCACTTCTGGGGGGTGCGGCTCTGTGTCATTTGCAGTGGTCCAAATTGCCGTCAGGAGTCCTTGCTTGGTCAGCGGCCAGGGATGCCTCCACACTGTGCCACAGACCATAGCCAAAGTAGATGGTGAAGCCTGTGGGCCGAGAGCAAAGAGCAGGCTTGAGCAGAGAGAGGGTCTCGGGGACGCTGGCAGAGGACAGTCTCTCCACGCTGCCGCTAGCCTGAGCAGAGTAAGCGGGCCTCGGGGGCTGACGCCCTACGTTTGGAGAAATAGCACGGCTTTTCAGGCAGGGTCGGTAAAGGTTCCCCTCTCCCACCTATGTGCAAGCCAGGTGCACGCTTTCCTTCCAGAGAGCCTCACGCTCCAATGCCTGAGCAGGGAGCTGCCAGGCTGGGGACAGCTGTCCCACTGACCACTCTCCTGGATTGGTGCTCTAGGACCACTTGGAGCCAGGACAAATATTCCAGAAGTCTCACTGTTCCCAGAAAGGACAGGATTCCCCACAGCACGGGGCTCCCCAGCTTCCTCACACTGACAGTACCATCTGACAACTTTCTCTGTGTAAGGGGTGGTCAGGTCACAGGTGGTATCATATATGGGGGGGGGGCGCACATATGAAACACGGGATTGTAGATGTTTTAGGGAATCTAAAGGTTTACGGGGCCCAGGCATCTGTGCTTCCAGCCTCCAGAGGAAGGTGGGACAGGAGATGAGGCTGAGAAGTGATCAGCACTGAAGTGCAGGAAAGAACTGAAGCTCTGAGGCCCAGAGCCTTCTGCCAGGGGTGCTCAAGGGTAGGTGCCCTCCTCTCCTCTAGCAGTACAAGTCTCACTTGCAGACCCCAGGGACAGCCGGTGGGCCAAACACACCCCCACACAGTGCACAGGTTGAGCCAGCTCTTCAGTGTCGGGAGACATTGAATCACACAGTCTAGACTGCAGAAAATGGGGGCAGCAACGTAGCCCCTGAAGATGGATGACAGACAGGTACCTGCCGCTACCCAGGGTTGAGAGACTGGGCAGAAACACTGTCCTGAAGTTACTGACTTTATCAGTGATACTGAGGGGCAAGGGGCAAGGAAAGAAGCTGAGCTGGAGTGGTCAGAGGCCTGAGGAGAGCCGTCATGGTCCCGGGCAGGGGCAGGGTGAGGCTACAACATCCAGCCCCTCTCAGGCCCTCAGGTGCCTGGGGCCTAGTGTCCTCACTGGAGCTGGCAGCCAGACTAAGCTGGATGGGGAGGAGGCACTGCCCAGACTTCCCATTTGGGATGAAGTGACTGGTGCCTAACTCACAGCAGAACCAGAGCCTTATTCTCATCAACACCAAGTTCCTGCCCAGCAACGTTAACTAGTTCAGACAAGAAGCTATGAAAATGAAATATAGGGTCCTCCCTGGTGACCAGCGGGTTAAAGAGCAGCACTGCAAGCTGGCTGTGGCCACTTAAGTGTGAGCTCGATATCACCCCGAGGTGACCCACATGGTGTGGCAGACCTCTCCTGACCCGCCCGCTGCTCCCCTGAGCAGTGTACTTCATCAGTCTGCCTGTTCCGCTCCCCACTCATCTCTGGTGAATCCTCTCACTGCCCCCGCACCTCTGGCCTGTACCCCAGTTCTGTATGCACCAATAAATCTTTTTTTAAAAAATGAAATATCCCTAAAAGGGAGGGGAGGCCCTATAACCTACTATGGGGCCCAGACTATGTTTCTGAGAGAAACATGCTGATGACATGCATCTTCACAAGCATGGAACCTGAGGTGAGGGGGGCTGGATGACAGTGACCAACCGAGCAAGGTGCAGGGCAGATGAATGAGCAGCACAAGCCCTGAGCAGAGGCCCCCAAAAGAGGTCGCCATGTCAGACATACGGGTCACAGTGAAGCCCTAGACCCAACGTACCTATCAGCATCCACACCGCAAACCGAATCCATGTGCCTTGGTCCAGTTGCATCATGAGATAGACGTTCACAAAGATGCTCAGGACAGGAAGCACCGGCAGAAAGGGCACCTGCAGAGAAGGTGAGGTGGTGGTGGCATCAGAACTGACGCGATAGACAGCACAGAGGTATTTGAATCTTTTGAATCTTTCAGCAAAACTGCTCAGGGAAAGAATGTGCACCTGAAAGCCACAAATACACCCCTATACACGCACCTGCAACCACACACAGGCAACTGTTCACAGCTGGGAGGCTTGCTCTAAAGGAAACGCTGTTCTTATTTCCCCCTCTTGCTATGCTGCTGAAGAAGGGACTAGAAGCAGAACTTCCTCATTAACTCTAAAATACACACCTAATATCAGAAGTCTCGGTCATCTCCCAGGCTCAGTTAGGACATGTGATATGTCTGGACAGACACTGATGACAAGTGGCACGAATGAGGTGCCACCTGAGAGAAGCTGGGTCCGCTCCTCTTTCAGCAGGCTCCATGTGTGCCCCGGGGGCCCTGCCACATACTTCCCAGAAGCTCACCAGCAAGTTTTCTCCTCCAGATACCAAGGCCCAGTGAGCGGAGGCCACACAGGGCCAGCCTCCTAGAGGGAGGACCGTGGTCTGTGGCAGAGTAGGAGCGACCCTGCATGCTGGTCGGGCCCAGCTGCTCACCTTGAATGACAGCTTGGTCTTGCTCTCAGGCTGCCTCCAGATGATGGCCGTGACCACAGAGCAGAGAAGCGCAGATCCCGTGAGCAACAAGATGGCCCACAACTCCGCTTTGATCAGGGCCTCCTTTCCAAGTACAGCCACGATACAGAAGGTGATGATAAGCAATGCTAAGAGAAAGTTTTTCTCGAATTCAGTGCTCAACATTTCTCAAGTTCCCACAGATAGCCTCAGTTCTCCCAAAAACCTAAGGAGAGGAAGGCTTCCATCCCGCAGACATCAAGATAGATGCTTGTAACTCCCCTGGTAGCACCCACACTGCTTCCACCCTCATGAACAAAACCATTCAATGTCATCATGCAAGACCTTAAAGACCTTACAGGGAAGGAAAAACTCTTACCTATGAGACTAGTTGAAATGTTCACAATTAGCCCAGAAAATTTAGAAGGTTCCATGTTTTTGGGTGAAAGCATGTTTTTAAAAGAAAATCTCTCTGCTTCTGGTAAAAAGCCTGTCTGGGAATCACTGGTGCTCACCAGTTCATTCTGGTCTACTTGATCTAGCTCATCCATAGTTCTGGCCATCTGGTATACCAGATTAGGCTGCTCTGGCTGATACCTGTAAAGAAACGGACAGCATGAGCACTAGAATACGTTTCGATGACGCAAAAAAGATAAGTCTTCAAATGTTACGTGGCCTAAAACACAAGGAATAAAATGGGAAGAAGATGAAAAGAACGATACATTCTCTAACCAAGCAGAAACAGGGGATCCACCAGGTGCTGGCCTTTTGTTCCTGCTTCTGGACAACATCTCCCTTGATGTCTCTGTTTAAGGACAACATGACCTCCACAGTGAACCAGGCCAGAGGACAGTCCTAAGGCAATTTCTCTTGCTCTGTGAAATAGGACCAGCCCTTGCATACTTCAGATATTAGGTCACTCCTAGCAAAACTATGGCTGTAGGGAACTAAAAGAAAGACAGAAATAGAAAGCAATAACATCAGGATCCCATTTGGTGTAGAGAGCCAGAGAAATGTGTCTGGAGACTGAGGGATTTCAGAAATTCTGTCTGCGTGACTTAATTGGATCAATTTATCTTAAAACTCCAAATGCCTCAAAGTAAATTCTATTGAGCTGGGTGAAGAATGAGCCTGTGGGATGATTTCCAAGACAAGTTACCTGCAAGTAAAGTATTCCTTTTAAATGAAGGTCCTTATCTTGCCACCCAAAATGAAAAGAGCTCAAATCTTTTCTACCAGCTTTGAAAGAGTGCTCTATGAATTATTTTATATACAATCACTTCTAAGAATATATATATATATTTAACCATTAGTTGCACTAATTCATTTATGCAACACCAATCAATCGATGAAGAAAGTGGAGGGACCTTCAGGAAAGATTCCAGCATTGTGGAATCAGTGGTCAGCAAACAAGTTTTGGCTGATTCTACAGCCACGACCAAGATACAACCCAAGTTTTATACAAATTATTTCCTGAGCACGCTAGAAATGGAATGGCAGTTTTGCAAGTATAAATACCTAGAAATAAGGAGGGCCTCACTGGGAGACCAACACTGAGTGTCAACATGAGCCCATGTTCTCATGACAACTGCTAGTTTGGGTTATTCCTGGGAGTGAGGAAACCGGAATCCAGGAGTGCACTTTGGGAGATGGGTACTTGGGCTCCTGAGAACACCAAGACAGCAAGTCATGGCCCACAGCTACTTTACCACAGCTGCCTGGTCTGTATAAGGCTAACACAACCAAACCCTGGCCTGTCTTCCCAAATGTCAACCGTGGCCACTTCCCGCCACGTAATGGAGCTCCTTTCTTCCTCCAGATGCAGTCCAATGAAACATCACCATAACCTGATTCACAAGCATCACAGTGACCTAAGATTTTCTGGAATCTCCCAGTTCCCAGTCCTATCTGTCCCAAGAACCTAGGCCACACTGACATCATTACCTTCAACCCTCAAAATGTCCCAGGGTCCAGGCCCAATCGTTGGGACAAGAACCTATCTATCCTCCCAACTTCTAGTCAGAAAAATGAGGGCACATGACATAGGAGGTGAAGCCAGCACTGATTTTTCTAGGAGGCATTTTTCTAGGATGCTATTAGCCACCAGAGCCAACCTTTCTTTGTCAAGTTCCCAATGGAACAATTATCATCCTACAAGGATATTAAAAGGCTAACAGGGAGCATCCACAATTCTGTTACAGAACCCAGAGATACTGTACATACCGCAAGACCAACACACAGGCAGCCACCAAAGAGTAAGCCAGGAGCGTGCCAATGGACATGAGGTCCACAAGGTCCTTCAGGTCAAAGAGGAAGGCCATCACAGCTGAGGAGACAAACAGCAGGGCGCACTGATGTCAGACATCTCCACATACAACGTCAGAACCACCACCCACCACCATCCAGACCACAGAGGAATGCTTGCCTCCCCAGCCCTGGCCCCTCCCATGAAAAGACATTGCATAAAAGGGTGAAAAGCTCAGGATTAAGTGACAGGCATAGTGCTCAGCATATACTAACAACGGCATTTATATAAAAAATACTTTCATTAGCATGACCTTTTTTGGTCCTCACGGAAACTTTGAAAACCACCTCTACACCACAGATGGAGAAAAGGAAGTTCAGACAGGTTGGGAGTTTTTATCTAAGGTCACACTGCTAGTGAATAGAAAAATTAGGAACTCAGAGACCAGTAAGTCTTCTGTTCCAGCTGACTCAGTCACGTGCATTTATCCATCCACCCACCATCCATGCATGATCCATTGATCATCCATCCATCCTTTCATCCGTCATCCACGTGGCACCCATTGGGAGTGTACCGTCACTGGGTGGCAAGTATACACCATTAAACAGGCCAGATCAGACAGCCCCTGGCCTCCCGGAGTGTACTGCCCCAAGACACATGCAGCTGCAGGCAGTAATAATGAGAAGTAGAGGGAGGCAAACACGGTGCTCTGGGAGCGGTGCTCTGAACACAGGCAGGTAAGGACGGGAAGCAGTGACTCCTAAACAAGTCAGTCCTTTCAACATTACCTCTACTTGAAAAACAAAAAGTACAACCAAAAACTCTTTGTAATAGCTATGACTCTGGATGTCTATTTATGTGGACACATATATCAAATTTCTCATTTAAAAATATTGGGCCCTCCCTGGTGGCACAATGGGTTAGGATGCAGCACTGCAAGCTGGCCGCTGCCGTTTCAGTGCAAGTTTGATCCCTGGCCCTGGAGGTGATCCACATGGCGCGGCAGACCTCTCCTGACCCGCCCGCTGCTCCCCTCAGCAGTGTACTCAATCAATCTGCCTGTTCTGCTCCCTATTCTATCTCTGATGAATCCTCTCACCACGCCTATACCTCTGGCTTGTACCCAATTCTGTATGCATAAATAAATAAATCTTTAGAAAAAGAAAATAATCTGACTTTATCTACTTTAGGGTATTTTCTAAGTCACTTGCCACCGATAAGTTTTAAAACACAAACATGAAACCATTACTTGTCGACAAATGTCTTAAGTTTCTAAAGATTACTGCGACTAAAAACAAATTTAAATTAAGAAAAAATAGGATTACGAACAATGAAGGCCTTCCAGATAATTAGAACAGTTTCTAACTGTTCGAGAGATGTTTGCGCTCCTACTCGGGGAAATTCGAGATCAATGTCTCCCACGCAAGGTGATTTTAGGAAACCAATACCAAATGAAAATAAAGAGTAAGTCCTTGGTTGGTGAATGCTTTACAGTCACCTTAAAGATTATAATCTAATCTCCTTTAATCAGCTAAGGAAGGAAATTAAGTCCAGTTTAATATGATCAAGTTACACATAAATACTAGAAACACTACTTCCAGTTCCTTAATCTCTTAAATGTATTGGTCATATTCTGACACAATGTGCCCCTTAACCCTTCATTGTGATCACTCTCAGGAGTATGGAATTTCACCAAAAAAAATTGCTAAATGATGAAAAACTAGCTTTCTGTCACATGTACATAAACTCACTAAATTAGACACACTTTGCTAAAGGTGTAGTGTGTGTGTGTAAGTGTGTGTGTGTGTTTTGGGGCTACCCTTTGTTTAACTGGTGCCCTAAAACAACACATAGCTCAAAGGTTCTTTCTCGACCAATTCCATTGACCTCTGACGATGGAATCTGTTATTTGATAAGCTAAACTTCCCTTGGGTAAGCAGTCATTTATAAACTTAGGGTGAATGGTTTCCCCAGCAGCCCCCTCAATACCCCCTGGGGTGGAGGCAGCACATTTTGTAAACACTGGTCATCAGGAATCCTCATTTTTCACAGAATTCATGACCTCTGCTACAAGGACACTCAATTTCCACTACTAACAAAATATCTGTCTTGGCTTGTATCATGAGATGAGATGTCTTTTCACCAAAGTCTACTCAAGAAAAAGTAAAGATAAATGGTTTTGAAGGGCAGAGTGAGCACTGTATTGTCTGATGCGAAGAGAGTAATAATAAAATAGTTCAATCTTTCCAGGAATTCCATCATATTGTCTGTAAAACGGGTTTCTGCCTTTTATTGAAAGGCAATTATCTTACAATAAACCAGGTTTCAAGTGTAAAGGTCAAGTATGAAAAAAATCGGTATAAGTCAAGCTATTCCCCTAGGAAGTAACAACTCAACATTTAAATCTGGCATATGACATTAGTCTTCGTTCTTACCAGCAATGGCACCAGAGGTCAATGTGGCGATGATAGGTGTTTTGGTCCTCTCATTGATTTTGGCTAAAAATTTAAATAGCAGTCCATCTTCGGCCATGGCATAGATAACTCGAGGCATGGGAAACATAGAACCTAAGAGACTAGATGGGAGGGAAAAGCAAAATGCATTTCTTTCATCAGCAATAAAGGCAGCCTACTACACAATTCATACAGAAAAGATGGAGCCTGAATCGTCACCAAGAAATGGCAGCCTCTAGACTTCAGGAAGCCCAAGGCTAAAAGACAGGAAATTCCGTAACCCTGGGTGAGGCACTCACTCACCGCGTGGCAGCAGTGGAAATGGGCAACCTACCATAAACTAGCAATGGGATCCACACCATGACTTGTATGGGAAAACCTTTGTCTTTATTCCTAGCTGAATCAAATGGAAATCATGCGGAGTTCTCTGTGGTGAATTCATATTAGCAAGTGTTTCCTGTTTACACGGGCTAGAAGGAAATATCAAGGGTGAACTGTTTCTCATTAATAGACACTCCTTCTCTCAAGGTAGCTTCTGTTTTATGTCCAAACTAAGGACCAAAACAAAAGGTTAAAGAGGTGGCGTGCTCCAGTGGCCAACATTAGGCACAGCAAGGCATTCCCTGGCTAAGCTGACCATGTCAAGAGTGGACTGTGTGTTCTCTGAATAATGACAATATACTCAGCTCTTGGGATGATAGTCAGCGACCACCCAGTCCATTTTTTCTACTATGAAAGGGCGGGGTTATGATTCTTTTTAAGGGAAGTAGAACAACACTGACAGCAAGCCCGTGTGGCACTTTACACAGCCTCACAGGCCTTCCACAGAGGTCCAGAATGCACACCTGGTAGAAAGAGCGCAGAGTGAACCAACAGCCACTGCATACTTAGCGCCTTCCCAGCCCACATGCTTGAAGGCATCCGGCAGAGGGCTGTTCTTGTCCAGGCAGAAGTATGGCATCATGAGCGTGAGGGCAGCTGACACCCCAAAGTAAGCAACGAAGCAGATCAAGAGGGACGCCACGATCCCTATAGGGATCGCCTTCTGGGGGTTCTTGACTTCTTCACCTAGAAACAACAAGGAGTCAGCAAGGGCAAAACAGTGAGAGCGCTGCCCAGCCAGGACGCCTGAGGCCTGTCGGAGATCACCGCCGGAGCTCTGCCCTGTGGGAATCGGACCAGGAACCTCTGGGCTCCCGGGCCGAGTCGTGGCCTCGGTTACACAGACCAGAAGACTAGTCAGCCCTGGGATGGTGTCCTCAATGTCTACATTATTGGTCAGCCAAGGAAAAGATGTGTTTCCCTTGGCAAAGAAAATTCGTGAGGCCCCATGGAGTCCAGCCCATTTTTTCTGCTATGATGATGAGAGTTTCACGGTCTCATTCTCCTGGATGATACACGAATATACAATCAGGTTGCAGCCAAAGCTGTCACTAGTATCCCCTCCCGCAGTACAAGTTAGTCACGTTCATGATGCAGAGCTTCCTGTCAGGCACTGCCAGTTGGGGAAGTGATAAAAGGGGGAAAAGATTAGTAGGAAGCTACAAATGTACACATTACTCATGTGTGAAACAGCGGCGACTGGCACTTGTCCACAGGAAAGAAAATAGTGACCCAAGGGTAAAATTAGCCCAGTGTGGCCAAGAACAGAACCCAGAGACTGTGTGTGTGCAGGCGGGGTGGGTCACCTGTTGTGGCAATGCAGTCAAAGCCCACAAAGGCATAGAAGCAGGTCGCTGCTCCTGACAGGACGCCGGAGAATCCAAAGGGCATGAATCCACCACTTCCGAATTGAGTGTTACTAGGAAGAAAAAAAAGAGGCACGATCAAAGACCACACACCCTCCTTTTCCCGAAGAGAAGCCAAGCCCACAGTCACCCTGTGGTATGATCACCGCTGGGCCGGGGGCTTTGGACCCCCAGTGAGCGGTCCCCAGAGATGAGCTGTCACCAGCTATGACATCCCTATGACATCCTCTACCTGTGAGCAACAAGCTCCCCACTTCACAGGACCTGGTGCCCCAGAGTTGGCACTAGGCTCATTCCAGAACAGCCTCTAAGTATTGACTTGGGGGTGGGTAGGCATTGTGAGGTGGGGTTGTCCAAGAGGAAGCAAGAAAAACTAACAACTCCAGCCTGCAGAAACCCCTGAAAGAACATGTGCTTTCAGAACAAGAAGTGGCCAGTCAGGTGCAGCTGGCCCAGAACAACATGCAAAAAAGTTTCCAGACAATTTAACCAGTAACTCAAATCTTAACACAAGTATTTCCAAAGAGACCGAGGTTTTAAAAAGTAAGCTGTTCTAAAACAAACAAACAGCAATCGAAGCACTTCTTATGCGTCCCTGTACGAAAGGCCAGGGATGCCCATGAGGGCGCAGAGCAGCACCCAGCCCCGCTCGGGCACAGGTGCAGGGCTTGACCTGCACCTGCTGCAGTGACGGATGCAGAGGCAAACCATGGCCCTCAGCTGTGTCCAGGCTCAGAACAGCACTGCAGCCCGTACAAACCCACACCCTGTCTGGACGGCCCCAAAGCCCCCAAGTCTGGGGTGGGCTGTCTCCAACCTCAGGCTGGATGGCTACTTGCGCTTCCCAATGCGAGAGAGAACCTGACGCAGAGAAATCAGAAATCAGTATCCCAAGCCTATAACACTGAAGTTGTTCAGGTTGGGTTAGCAACTCATTTCATCAAATGTGCTCTCAGTGGGATGTATCGATTTGCTAATAAACAACCTGGCCCCAATTCTTTGCTAGTGAAGATTAAGCTTTATGCTGATTCCTAAAAGACAGTGATAGTTCTCAGTTTCAAAAAGTGCCACTGGAAGTTAGTGCACGAAGACATTCCTAAATGGGGGGCTTACCATTGCCCTGTGGGTCCAAGAAGCAGCATGTGTGTATATAATATGTATGTGTATATCAGACATGAAACACAAATATATATATATATACACATATGTATATGTGTGTGTGTGTATATATATATATATATATATATATATATATTTGTAATTGTTTATATGTATACAACTAACAACTGAAAGTTCACACAGAAAATTTTAAAAAATGATTACCTACAGGGGACTGAAGAATGAAGGAGATGTAGAAAAGAAGGGGAACAAGATTTCTCTGTGTAAAGATTTTTATAATATTATATGAACCATGTGAATATATTACCAACTCAACAAATTAAATTCAACTTTTAAGTCTGGGTGTTACTAATTCTAATGACAGAGTATTGAATAAAACAAGCACAACCACCCCACCACCACCACCCCCCCCCTCCACACACACAGTTACCAGATGAAGAACCAGATTCGGCCCCCCTAAACCATACTCTTGACTGAACATAGCACATGCTGACTTCAGAGAACTAAACCTTTATCACATGGAAGTTAATCTGGGGGGTTTCCATCCCTACTGCCAGACACTATCCAACAAAACTTTCTCAGTGGGTTTCCACGTAGTGTTGATGACTGACTCTTACTACTTGTATTACCATCCACAGACCACTAGATGAGAAAGCCAGGGGAACACCAGTCGGAGAAAGGAGGCTCCAGTTGGATCGTAGGTTAATACACCCACCCAGACTAAGAGACAGCTTGACGCACAGACTTCAAAGGGAACTTTGCAGCCATCCAAAGAAAGGGCACCCTAAATCACAACCCAGGGTGGTCAGAACTGCCCCCAAATCCATTGAGTTGAAATGCCTCCTTGCTCTGCAGTTTGGGTGGGAAATGTTCTATTTCAGAGACAAGCAATTTCATGCAAGACTACGTGGCCTATTTCAGAAACTCAAATTTACAGCTGGGAAAAAAGGGAAGAAAGCAGTTCATAGGTTTTAATAAAATGAAAGCGTAAGCTGTGCCCCAATCCCACGGCTCCACCTCTGAAAGTGACTGATTCAGCCTCCTGAGTGCAATTCCCCCAGCGAAGGGGGCAGATGTAACCAAAGGGGACCCACCCACAACAGAGGGGGCCAGGCAATAAACGTCACTTTGTCCGGGAGGCCAGTCCAGTTCATCATTACTACCACATAAAGTGTGAGCACTGATGAGAGAAAATATTGATGGCTGGTACCGACAATCTCTTCATAAAAATAATAAAATTAAATCTCAACTTACAAACAGTAAACAAGAAGTTCCCTCAATATTTAATTTCTGACCTCTAACCGGCAACCAGTAAAACAGTCTCCAAATTTTTCCAAGATTACTATGCTACTTCAAAGCATACTTTGAATTGGCTTTACTGTACCCTGAATTAATGGGTTTCAATAAACTTGGCATTAGTATGACTCAGGAACGTTTTGAAATAATATATTAAAATCCTCATTTCTTCATAATAGAGTTAAAAACTGAAAGGAAGATGCTTTTTAACTATTAACCAATAACAGAGTTAACGGAGTTCCATGACCCTAATTCAACAGTGTTCTGTTTGTATCCAGTGGGAAACCAGCCACGTATCGATACCCACCCAGGGACCAGATCAAGAAGGATGTATGACTGGGCCCCTGAAAGTCCAGCAGACCAGCTGGCCAGTCAACCTGGAATGCTCATTTCCAGACATTCTTTTAAAGTCACCCTACTGCGAAGGTTCTCTTTATCAGGCCAGGTTAGCCATTAGCTGTAATTATAATAGAATCGTAGATAAAATCTAAATCCCCATTCTCTACACTGGCCTACAAAGATTCACCTGAAAAATCTGACCAAAGAGATACATCATATTTTTTTTGGTGTTTCTTTTCTAGATAACCTGAATATAGAACAGGATCGAGAGCTGTCAGAGGCCTGCCTCTAACTCTGGGTGTCCTGGCCAGAGAAACATTGAGGATGACAGGACTACTCTTCTCTGGGCTGCCAGGGAAATAGGGGAAAAACAATACCATTCTGATCACGTTTTGATACTTTACTAGTTCTAAAAACTAGTTCCACATATTTCTTCTACATTTTAAAATAAGTTACTGAATGTAAAGGCATTTTAAAATAAGTTACTAAATGCAAAGGCATTTTAAAATAAGTGTTATCATCCTTCTAGAAAGAGCACATGGGGGTATGGTGATGGCACTTGGGTAAAGTGGTGGTGGAAGTCCCCAGGGATTACAACTGAGATGAAAAAATGTACAAAATGAAGAATAATGTAAAAAATGTATTTATGAAAGAAAAAAAAAGTGTTATCATAGTGATAGTGCAGAGAAAAATCCCTGCTAAATACAAAAACTCAAGGTTAGTCATGAAACAGAGTCTGGAAAAATGGATTAATTTAGTGAGTCTGACAGTGCCCCTGAACGGGACACAATTTTGGAATTAAAATGAAAATTCCCTCCTTAATACCTTCCCTTCTGTAATACAAAGTTTGGTCTCTTCAAGATAAACAAAAGGTAACATAAATTTCAAACAAAACATCCTCAGCTACTTCACCATCAAAAAAAAAAAAAATCAAATTACATTCTATGAAAAAAGGCACAAATAGTCCACCCAATTACATTCCCCAAATACATATAAATGTTAAGTACCAAATACGAATGAATGGTCACGTGGAGAGAGAGAGCAAACACCCACTTGTTGAAGCAGTGGTGTCCGGAGTAGTTCCGGAAGTCCTCCTCAGTGAGATGCCAGTTTTTAATTGATCCCTTCACAAATCCTGACACCATTATGAAGCCCAGGACCAGAACATTCACACAAGTGAATACTTTGTTGACCATGGCCGACTCTTTCACACCAAGAGTTAAAAGCCCTGAAAAAGCGCACAAACAGAAAATTTCATCAGAGTATTATCGTCATTACTAGGTAAGTCCTGGAGATGTGAGCATGATGGTGACTGAGCATGATGCTGCTAAGTGGCAGCAAACCCCCGAAGATTTCTGTGAGCCTCTGGGAATGGGGCTGAATTAATTATCTTTCTAGAGGCAGAGATCAAAATAACCAACGCCCAGGGGTTATTTAGCAAAGCTATAAAAGTTGGCCTTCCTCTGGAATTGAGGAAGCACCAAAGGGCCACAGAGGTCAGGAATATCTATCCCATAGAAAGCAAGTCCCTCCCAGGGGCCCCAGGGAGAGCTTCTCCCCACATCCACCCTCTCCCTTTCCCTCCCTGTTAAAAGGCATCACTATGAACTGCTCTTGGGAGGAAGCTTTCATTTTCTCCAAGGAGACATTTTGCTCAGTTTCTTGGTAGATGGGTCCTTCAGATTTTCCTTGGGATGTTAGTAATAACAGCAGTGGCAGCTATCTGTGATTGTAGAACCGACACTCCAGTTCCTCCTTGGACTCAGTGCATGTAAAATACTGTCAGGCTGGGGGCGCGGGGGTCCCACGGCCCCCGTTTATGACTGAGTTTACTGACCGGCCATGCACGCACTGTACAATAAAAAATGTCACACAGAATAGACGGCATTCTGAAACAGGCGTTACAAGAGAGCTGCGCAATCAGCCACAGTAACTCGTCATGTGCTGCTGTGTTCTCTTCCAGCATCCCTCCCTCTCGTGTTTACAACAATCTCACTGGTACCAACTTATTTTCGATACATGTTCCTGCCAGCTGGACCAGAAATACTGCTGAGATGGGTCTATGCGAGCGGATTTCAATTACATGGTGTGTATTACAAGGCATATTGCTTTTAAAACTCATCCAAACTAACCTCAAAGGAGAATTTATCTGCATTTCAGCTTCATGTTTGTATGTGAAATACCATCTTAGGGGCTGAGACACAGATATATGTTACAAAGAAGCGACCATTAGCTGTGTTCATCTAACAGCTTGAATTTTTTAGATCTGTAACTGCAACTTTGTCATGAAATTTATTTAAAGGGTGTCTTGAAGGCTATGGGTACAAAGCTTCCCAAAACATCAAGGCACAAGTTACTGTTCCAGATGGAACTCATTCTTCCATATGTTTCTGGTCAGTGAACCCCAATTTTTCCTTTCCAGATGTTCAGCCACTGAGTAGAAAGAATCTGTATTCCTTGGTCACCTGCATAAAAAAGCCTGTGATACTAACGAAATTTTACCCCACTGAGAGTTACACAAAGACTCGCCTTAATTAAATGATATGTAACATGACAGCTAGTGAAGAGGCCAACCCTTTCTGAATCTCTATACAGACGTTAAGAAAAAAAGGAAATCTGTGTTAATTACTAAAAGGGAAAGGAAAGGGGAGGGTCGGAGAGGGAAAACAGAAGAGGAAGAAATGAATTTAAGGAGGGGCGACCAGCTACCTTGGCGCTAAGCCTCCTACCTGACGCCTCTCTCAACGTGTGGCTTTACCTGTTAAGATAAGAATTATAATCACGGCAAATATGTCTGGGTTTTCTGCCAGCACCCCAGGCGCGTGCAGGGCCATGTGCGTCTTGGAGAACTCCCCTATGGGTTTGCCTATCAGCTCGTCAAACGTGGCACTCCAGGCCCTCGCAACGCTCGAAGTACCTGTCACAAAGCACACACACCAGAGGAAATAAAAGAAAAACCATTAACAAGAGTATTTGTTATCAAGCTCAATAGTCAAAGCACGAGTGCACGGGAATTCTGCATCAGCGCATGCGCCAGACTCAGGCTACGCAACAAGAAATACTATCATTTCTTGTCAAGCCATGAAACGGCTTCATGACCCAGTCACAGGTTAGAGCTGCGGTGGGAGAACTTAACTCGGAAAGTTCCTTTATCAAGACCCTCTGGGGGCGGCACTCCAAGAGGAGAACGGAGGATCACACGGGACTTACCCTCTCTCATCTCAGGAACAGCCCCCAAACACCCGAGGCAGGCGCCAACCACCCTGTCCACTTTGTACCTCAACGTGTTTCCACCAGCTGACGCTGTGGCCACAGTGCCTGGCCACCCTCCTCCCCACAATCCCGGACAGCAGGAGCACAAATGGACACAGCTGCCCAAATGCCAACAGGCAAGGGCTGCTGGCTTTCTTTTAACCTGAAGAAAGGTATTGCTTTTCCAGTGGTGTTGCTCAGGAAATGTGGCTAAAATCTAGCATTTACACAGAGCATTTTCCCCTGTTTTCCAAGGAGGCCTAGCTGGTGACTCCCCTCTGGGGCACTCGTGATGTCTCACCAGAGGATCTGCAAAACGTCCCTTTGGTCTCCTGCTATGTCTTTTCCCAACAATTCAAAAATTCAACCACATTTCTTCAGCCCATTATTGAATTCTGCCCATCAAGAGCACAACCCAGCCAAGGAAAAGTCCCCTGATGTTGACGAGTTCCCATCTGCCCAACTGGAGCCAAGAGCTGCCCACACTTCCTCCTAGACCCTCCACCAAATGCCAGTTTGCTGTCAAAACTGCGTTTTCCTAGAGGCTGAAGCCGGGAGTTGCTTGTAGTAACGGAGTGAGTCTCACACAAGCACATAACTCTGGGAGAAAATCCTTCATCGGCTGTTGTAAAGCAGCAGGTGCTTCACTGTTTTGTTTTATGTCCAGGCAGATCCGCAGGAAACACAGTGGCCAATTTAAAATACTACCTTCCCACTGAGAGACTTTAGGCCGCATGAGCTTTTGTACTTAGAAATTTTTGTGTCACTCTGAGGAAAACCATTTCTCTGAATTTTATTCTCAAAGTTGAAAGACTTAGTTATGTTGGCTCTCAGCAGAAACCAAGGGTGATGAAAAGAAGGGGCTGCTCAGAACCTTTTGGGGAGCCCTTCTCCAGCTGGCCCAAGTACTTGGCAATGGTGCCCACCCCAGCCCCAGGGCCCTGGACCAAGCACAGCATTCCCCAAACGGAGTAGAGGGACACACAAGCTGGGAGCCGAAGGCTCAATTTGTTCCTCTTATTTTATTTTTTACCTTATTTCCAAAAATTTGCTAAACTACAAATGGAAATGTGTAGTGGCAATTTTATTTCTGCTCTGGTAAACAGGCTACTCATATCCTTTGGTTAGTCTTAAATATTTCCTTTAAGTTTTTGCTTTTAACTTTGGTTATAATCAAAATATAAATAACATGAAGAGAAAGAAAGCTTTCTCACCTACCAAACTAGAAAGACTTATACTTTTGGCATTTTTGTCTGTCGGCTGGTTGACTGCTTTCGACGCTAATGCCGAGAGTCAGTAAGGATGTAAAGCAAAGAGGTGCAGGGTTGTTTGGGGGGAATCACAGCCAATGAAAGGAAAGTCTTAAACACAGGAAGAAAAGTCTTAAACATATACCGTACGTAGGAAAGTCAGCAAAAAAAAAACATAATCTTTAGTTACTTTTTCTTTTTTCTATATGAAAAGATGGATGATAGCTGAACCTGCCATGACAATCATTTCATGATATATGTCACTCAAACCACCAACTGGATGACTTTAACTGACACAGTGACATCTGTCAGTGATTCCTCACTAAGATTAGGGGGGTGGCAGGTTTGCTGACCTAGCCGTTCTGATTCTTAAACTATTTAAAAATTCATGGCCACACCTGAGATTAATTAACCCATTTATAGCAATAATACCACAATATACCACAAGGGTATCCAATAAATCTTGTGTACAAATCAAATAATAATAGTTACTAGGAATATCACTATGGAAAAAGTCAATGCTATAAGAAATGTTTGCTTCATATTGCTTTGTATGAGATAAAAAATATACCAGATAAAAAATATACACTAACGTTCACAAAATATTAACAATGGTTATATCCTTAGAAACAAGCTCTTATTAAAAGATTGCTTTATTATTCCTAATACCTATCACAATACCAGGCACAAAAGAGGGGCTCAACAATATTTGTTGAAAAAAATAAATAAGTAAGAGAAACTTAATTTCTCCAGGCTCTCAAATTGGGTCATTTGTACTTCTTTGTGCTTTTCTATATTTGTAAAACTTTTCTGTGCCCGTAATGTATTTACTCTAGTAAGTTAGAAACCTGCTATTGATCTCTGACCATGATGTTAAAGGACCTCGTGGGTCTGGCTGCCTCCAGCGAGGGCGCGATGCATCTGATCATTCAAACAAGAGCACAGAGCAGAGGAACCAGCGAAGCCCACCAGTGGGGAGAAAGGTAGGAACAAAGAGAAGCGGGGCAGGGTGTCGCCCTCCCGGGACTCACCGATGATGTAGGAGAGGATTAAGTTCCAGCCCGTGATGAAGGCCCAGAGCTCCCCGACGGTGACATAGCTGTAGAGGTAGGCCGAGCCCGTCTTGGGGACCCGAGCGCCAAACTCGCCGTAGCAGAGACCTGCCAGCACAGAAGCCAGCGCGGCGATCAGGAAGGAGATGACGATGGCGGGGCCGGCGTCCACTCGGGCCACTGCTCCGGCCAGGACATAGACACCAGCGCCCAGCGTGCTGCCCACCCCGAGCGCCACCAAGTCAAATGTGTTCAAGCATCGAGAGAGCCGGCTTTCTTCCCGGCTGCAGTCCACCACCTTCCGTCGCAACATCTGCTGGCCAATGTTGAGGATTACTTTGCACCCCATTTTGCTTTTCCAGTCTGCCAAAGGAAAGAACACAAGCACTTACTGCGTTGTTACTCTCTGTTCCACCTGCCAACCTGTTCTCATCCTAGACAGAGAGCTATGAGGTCCCCTATGGCCATCTGCTGCTCAAATGGCCCAAGTCCCCAACTTCCACTGCTGGTGATCATGTATGGCTTCTCTCTTCTCAGGCTTAACCTGAGTACCCAGGAGGTCAATGCACCAGCTGACTTTCTTTTTTGGTCTCTTGAGCTTCCACATTTATCTCAGTTGTTCTTAGCTGGAAGGCCTGTGGCTGGCAGAAATTATGTAGTATGGGAAACACACATTAACAGCATTGTTCCTGCCTTGCAATAATCACCAGGAAAAACAGGATGTTATTCCAAGTATACAGTCATAGAAGCCAAACCAAACAATATTTAAATTTCATTATAAAAACTCAAAGGCCTTGAGTAGCCATGACAATGCTGTTTGGACCTTTGTGGAATCCTTGGAGGGCAAGGACCGAAGCTGTTTCTACTTTTAAATTAATTAGAGTGAGGTCCAGAGCAGGAAAATGTTGAATTATTACAACTTGGGGCCTTTTGTAATTGTTACTGCTTCTGCCCTTTCCAGGCTAGACCGAAATGTTGCCAGTGAGCTTGTGAAATGCTGCTGGGCTCACAGAGGGCACCTTCCCCCAACCTCCCTCCCCCCAACCCGCCCCTGGCCAGGCCAGGAGGCACAGGTCAACAAAGCATCACAGAGCCGGCTGTGGCCCCACTCCTAACTCACGGGCCAGCCTTTCCAAGGGTACTCTGAGAGGCCAGCTTAGCCAGGAAGTCCCTGGACACAAAGAATCAGGGACTCCCCAGCAGAACATGACTCCCATCCATACCCTTAAATATGGGCTGCCCACTGTGACCTTTTCCCAGAGCAGGACAGACTAGAAAGGGGCCAAAGGAGAGTGACCTTTCAGTGGACCACCCTGACAGGCCCTGACTGGCATGGGAGGTCACAGCCAACACCAACAGTAACAGGTCCCACCAGCCATGTGACTTGATGAGGACACTTGCCCAAACCCCAAGCCCCAGTCTAATCATGAAAAAATATGGGATGATTCGCAGGTGCGGGACAATCGACAACACACCTGATCATGTGCTGCTAAATTGTCAAGGCTGTAAAAACTGTCTGAAACATAGTCACAAACAAGGAGTCTAAGGAGACGTGATGGTTAAATGGAATGTGACAACCTGAAGGGGTCCTGCAACAGAGAAGAGACACTGGGGGGAACTAAGCAAATCTGGATAAAGCGCTAACTTCAGTAGTATTAATATTAATTCATTATTTATAATGAATGCACCATGCATTAATGTAAGATGTTAATACCAGTATAAACTGGATGTGGGTTATATGGATGTTCCCATCTTCACAACTTTTCGATCAATCTGCTGTCAAGTTTAAAAAATAAAAAGCATACACAGAAATTTCAGGCTGCTAAGATAATTTTTATCTTTACCATCAATTGTTACTTATAAAACTTTGCCACCAGTAAGTGACTAGGAAACAAAAATAATCTAAATGGAGATGGTGAAACTGGCACAGCGCACACCTGCCCAGGGGCTGACCACCTGCCAGGGGGCTGACCACCTGCCAGGGGGCTGACCACCTGCCAGCCTCGCTCTGGTGCAGCCCGCAGCCTCAGGCCTGGGCCCTCTACAGGGATCGTGTCCCTGCCTGCTTCAAGTCCCAGAAGGCCTGGGCGGTCTTTTCTGCATTTTAGCTAACAGGCCAGGAGAAGAGAAAAAATCATTCAACCTTGGTGATGTTTTTCGCTAAAATGAAGACTACAGATCATACAACCTGATGATGAGAAAAGTAGCACAGAGAGCCCAGTGTCACACAGCTGTGACTTTACAGGTGGGAAGGAAATAATGTCACTGTATGGTGGGGAGGAAGTGTCAGGAAGCGAGGGAAGATGACGTGATCATGGAACAGGAAAATCAGACACAGGAGTCTGATAAGAGCAGAAAAGGGCAGGCACTGTGACCAAGATAAGAACAGGAACATAGATCAATGGCTTCCAGGCTTGTTTTTGGAAACTTAAGGGTGTGTTTTTGCAAGCTCTCAGGTCTGAAGCAGATTCTGAAGGGGAAGACAAGGGTTCCCACAATGTCCAGTCAGGGCTCTCAACGACTGGAGGCAACAACTTCAGAGAGGTCTGTGAGGACCCTTTGGGACATAGGGGCCACGTGAATTTCCAGCATCACTGAGTGAGCCCAGGGGTAATTCCTGAGCTCTGCTTCTTCCTAAAGATATTAACTGGAGGGCTCCCTGGTGGTCTTCAAGTTAAGCCCCAGAACTACCACTGTGAGGCCATCAGCCAGGGAGGGCTTGAGCCAGCAGACAGCCCAGTCAGAGCCCCACTCCTAACAGAGGTGGGCCTTGACACCACCTGCACAAAAAGGAACAGGTTACTGAATTCTATAAATGCAGGTGAGATATTGTTTTTCAAACACAGTACAAAAAGGGAATTACTTCTGGGACTGTAAACTGGGCCTACACAGACACAGCCCATTTCTTTTAAATAGGTACACAGTGGCCCAGCTTCTGCAGGAACACTTGTAGGCCCATGCTCTTCCCAGGAGCCCTGGAGGGAAATGCTCCCTATGTGGCTGGAGTGGCGGTGGGGGACACAATAGGCACCCTGATAAGAAATGAACTATCACTTTTACCTTGATTACTTCATAAGTGCAGCTCACTATCTAGGGGAAGAGCAGATTCAATTCTTTTTGAAGACATTGGAATAAAAAAATGCAGCCAGTTGCTGCTGAGAGCCCAGTGATGATAATCAGAGGAAGGCAAAGGTCTCAGGTACTCATCAAGTTCCTGGCTTGTTTTTAAGAACTATGCTGTCTGCCTCCTTACAGTAATAGAAAGTCAAGTTCTTCAAGTGGCATTCTCTGTCAAAATACCTGTCAGTATTTTCTACGATATCTTACCACTGACATTCATGTCAGGATTCCAAAGCTGGTCATTCACCAGCTAAATGAAACTTCCTTGGGCAAAACCAATTTAACCATTCTGATTCCCTGTGATGTCTGGTTTTACAGGCTACTTGCTGATGAGGTTTGTGCAAAAGTTGCCAAAACGCTTGGAAAGCATTCTCTGGACATTTTTTCATGTTTCTGGAGAGGAAATGTTTTAAATAGTCAATGCCGGGCCCTCCCTAGTGGTGCAACGGGTTAAACCACAGCACTATTAAGCTATCTCAGTCACTGCAGCACAAGTTCGATCCTCAGCCAGGGAGCTGACCCACATGGCACCAGAGGACCTCTCGTGTCTCGCCTACTGCTCCGCTCAGCTTTAATTTCATGTCTGCCTGTTCTGCTTCCTACTCTAACTCTGGTGAATCCTCTTACCAGGTCTGTACCCCAGTTCTGTAGGCATAAGTAAATAAATATTTAAAAATAAAATAAAATGGGCCCTCCCTGGTGGCGCAGCGGGTTAAAGCACAGCACTAAGAAGTCAAAGCCACTTCCGCATGAGTTCAATCCCCGCCTGCCCAGGAGGTGACCACATGGCGCGGCAGACCTCTCCTGACCCGCCCGCTGCTCCCCTCAGCAGTGGACTTCGTTGATCTGCCTGTTCTGCTCCCCACTCTGTCTCTGGTGAATCCTCTCACCCTCCGCATCTCTGGCCTGTACCCCAGTTCTGTATGAATAAATAAATAAATCTTAAAAAAAAATAAAATAAAATAAAATAAAATGATCAATGCCTATATTTGAGTTTTGACAGAAATCTCTGACAGTGAGAGCCTCAGATTCGTCTTACTCCCTCATTACTAAATAACAAATTACCTTAGATGGTTTCCTCTTAGAAAACCAAAATCGCTCTTCCTCACAAAAATTCTAATTCCACGTTTCACTGCAGTAGTTTATATGTAAAGTAAGAGTAGAATAAACTTGTGGGTCAAGATTATAGGTCTTTTCATGCCCCAGCTTGAAGGTTTCTGAAGATGAGCAGGTGTGAATAGTGCTGGGGTGCTGTGATAACATAACAATTACTGGTGGGACTAGATAAGGGCGGTAAAATAAACCGGGCCTTGCATCCAAGGGTGATAATTAACTGGGCCTTGATTCTGGGATGGGACTTGATGAGGGTGATAACGAACTGGGCCTCGCATCAAGGGGCACAGCGGTGAGTCACCCCTTTAGAATCTGAACTTAGAAACTATATAAGAGACTCTTCCCCCCTCTAGGGCTGGCAGTAGCTGCGGACCCCACCCTAGGGGCTCCGTCTCATCTGCTGACCGGTAGCAATAAACTCAGCCTTTCTGCCTCCTGTCTTTCTTCCTTGCGGTAGGTCACAGAAAAGCAAGTATGATGTTTTTCACTCTCAAACCTAATGATAATGACATAGGCTATTAAATACACTAAATTCATAAATGCCATCCTTTGAGGACAGTCTTACTATTCAAATCTTTACTTGGGGCCTCCCTGGTGGTGTAGCGGTTAGTTTCAGTGCTATCAAGCTATGACCAGCTGCTGCAGCACCAATTCGATCCCAGGCCCGGAAGCTGACCCACATGGTACGGCAGACCTCTCCTGTGTCACCTGCTGCTTCCCTCTGCAGTGTATTTCAGGAGATTTGCCTGTTCGGCTCCCCACTCTGCCTCTGGTGAAATCTTCTCATCCCCTGCACCTCTAGCTTACACCCCGTTTCTTGTATGAATAAATAAAGAAAAATAAATCTTAAAATCTTTACTAAGTAAACATTTCTGCTTTTAGGTGGCCTTTAGAATAGCCCAGGCCTCAGGTGACCTGCTCTCACCAGCACCTGGAAGAAGCCACCAGAGTGAAATCTGTCATTCCAACAGGAGCTGCTCTGGGCTCTATACTTGCATCTGGCCAAGTAAGGAAACTCGGTGCCTGCCAGGGTGTCGGCCACCTGGGTCCCACTGGGTCCCGCCTGTGGCGGGTGCCACAGGGATGACGTCATTTCAGCTGCCCTGCACACAAGCTGCTGGCCAAGCACCCACACACGTGAATGGCTGCCCCGGAGGTGCCCAGAGGGCCCTGGAGTGTGTGCCACTCTGAAAAGGAAGGGTGCAGAATACTCCTGACAGGAATCGCCACCAGAATGGTGGAAGGATGCAGAAAAGAGCATTCAAAGAGAGCTTTCTGAGCATTCTGGCCACTGTAGGAGAGGACAGGGGAAGGAAAAGGGAAGGAAAAAACATGTGTGTTGAAGGAAGTATTCCTTCCCCCAGATGTCAGCAGGCCCAGGTGCAAAAAAATTAAGAAAAAAAAATTTTTTTTGAGTGTATCTAGGACTGGTACACTCTAAGATGAAGACCTAGAAGCCGGCATGTCATTGTGAAAGGAGGAGAGAAAGGGGAAGAACTGAGCCCAAACACGGGGGCTAAAGATGTGTCTGGAAGCTGCAGTACACCAAACACTGGCCAGAGGTCCGCTGGCAGCTGCAGGGCTGGCCCCCACCACGTGTCATCACGGGGCAGCAGGCGCCCAGCCCGCAATGCCATGTGACTTTGGAAGCTGGATGCTTGAAGTTCCTCAGACAGTTGACGTTTATCTGACTGGAGGCATCAAGGAAGGCACTGAGGACGTAAGTACATTCCACCAAAATTCAGTGTCCACACCCGCCGTGACACCTGTGCTCAAGAGAGCACGGATCTACAGTAATGCATGACAACCTTGAGGCTGACAGGGTGCTGCTCTGCCAGCGGAAGTTTGGAACCAGAGAGCTGTCAAAAAGGCCTTGATTTAGTGATGGGAAAGGTGGGATTTCACTGAGCAGGGCCAGAGACATAAGACCCATAAAGACAGATCAAATTAGGTGTTTTTCTAAACTACAACTACAGTCAATGTGGTTTCTCACTGACACATGTGGACATAAGCTCTACCATGAGTGGCTGGAGTTCACAGTGTCACCTGTAGGCCAGCTTGATGGCTACTTTTAACTCTGTGGCCACATCAGAAAGCCTGTCCCAGTAGTTGAGTTCTTTTTACTGATTCAACCAAAGTTAATGGTACAAACTGCCAGAGATGTCTGAGGTTCCATGAACCACAATGTTTACAGCCCACCTCAGTCCACACCAAACAGTCCACACCAAGCAGATTTGTTGGGGAGGAGACAGGAAGGCAGAGACTCGGCATCTCAGACCTGACTTCTAGCTGACCTAGGAGGAGGCCCAGGGGGATAGTCATGGGGTTCACCTAGCTACATACCTACCCAGCCTGGGCACCTTCCAGGCGCAGGTCAAGAGGACAGTATACTGGAAACAGCAACTTACAGAGGTTCCAAGACAGGGATGGCAAATGGAAGCAGACACACTGGCTGGAGTACATGGGCCTCTTGCTAGGCAAGAGGCACCCGAGGAACAGGGCCCGTTGAAAGGCTCCAGCTCCATGGTGGCCATCCCACAAGCTCACACTTAAAAGTGGTACAGACAATTAACTCCAAAGGTCAAGGCATAACACTGCTGTACTGGTTGTAGAAGTGTAGCAAGACCTTTCAAGATGACATCTATGGTACACAGACAATAGTTTAACAATTTGAATGTCACAGGAAACATCCAGTAAAAATGTGCATAGTACCAATGAGTGTACATGTGGGTTTGTAAAATAAAAATACATTAACTTTCAGATTACTGAGTCTTCTCTATCTGCCATGCTGTCTACAACAAGAGAAGCTGCTTTTTAAAGCAGAAAAAAGTAACTGGTAACTAACAATTTGGGGCACCAGTCAAATGAAAAGATCCTTTACCTAAATTATATTCACACCAACTTATCCAATAGGCTATGATTAATATGCATTCTAGAGATAAGGAAACCAAAATTTGATTAGAACTCAGTATTTCTCAACTCTAGATGCATATTAGAATTACACGGGGAGTCTATCCTTTTTGATTGCTGAGTAATATTCCATCATGCATATATACCATGGCATTTCACAGAGACTATACCTGAGAGGAGAAAGCATACATTGTACAAAAATGAAGACTGATGTGTGTGTATGTTTACATAAAGAATTACATGAAGAGATTTTTTTTTAAAAAACTAATGACTCAAAGCCCATCACAGATGAAATACCTTCTGATAAGTTCTCCCAGGTAACTTGCCTATGTAGTCAATGAATGAAAGACAGAAACAAGACTGTAACCCATGTCTTACTGCCTCAAAGCCCTGCACTGTCCTGGGAATTGGAAAAGACAGGCTCCCCAGAAGTGCACTGAGGTGATGTTTGTCCGGTAAGGACAAACAGTTAATGGTGGAGAGGAATGAAGTCTCCTCACAGGGCTGACTGTCTACATGCCCCGCCCAAAGGGCCACATCCTAACCATCCTCAATGGCCCCATCACCAATAGCGCCTGTATTGTTTTCAGCACCGTAACAGTGCACATATATTACCAACAGAGATAAACTCAGGAAACTAACAGGACACTGGCTCTTTCTCCTGCAATCATCCTCACCATCAACAACTGGTGAGGGTTTCTCCATCAAGAGATGTTTTTTAGCTGAATATTTAATCGTTTAATTCACCAAGGAGTTTCTGTTTCTCTAAATGAATATATATATAAAAAGATACTAGCTTTAGGTTAAATCTAACCAACCAACATAGTCTTATCTATAAAGTCTTGGAAGACTCCCATCTGTCATGGGGTGTGTTCCATGCCCCCCTTAGCTCCCTCACCACATCTGAAGAGCTCTCCAGCTCTACTGCGAGGATAGCTTGAGTACCTGTTATTCACCCTCTGGCCAAATTTTTTAAGTCCCCAAAACATGATCTTAAACAAGTCAGTGTTGGGGTCTCAGTTTCTACATCTGAAAAGAGGAAAAGAACCATCCTCCCACTGCAGGGAGCTTGTGGGGATGAGTGAAAGAATGCACTAGGGAACAAGCCCCAAAGCAAAAATCACTGTCGTTCCTAAGTCTCCAAGAATCATTATTTCTGGATTGGCACTAACTTCTTCTAATCTCTTCCTTTTAAATTTCAGTTAACAATCTACCCCCACAGAAGAGAGGGCAGACAATCCTAATTAGCAAAGGATTTCTGCCACTAGGGTTGTTACTAGTTGAAGCTTGACTACAGATCCTATTGCTACCCAACTCCTAACTACACTCACATCGTTTCCGTATTGTTTATGCAAATCAAAGAATGACAATCAACCAAGAAAGCAGTGAAAGAACAACTAAGGACAGCTTCACAAAGCCAGATACAATCTAGAAACGTCTCTTCCTATGGCAGCAGGATGCGATTAGAGTATTTATGTGTCCAGATAGCACTTCCGTCCCTGCGAGGGCCGTTCTTTATCAGGAGAGACGTCCTGGCCCTGTGCACAGAGACACAGCACAGAAGAAACACGTTCCCTCTGGAGCTCAGAGCGCCGTCAACCACACTCACGATCATGTTTGTATCTTGCTCCCAGGCATGTGAAGCCTGGTGATCTACAGACCCTGTGGGCAGGTCAAGGGGCAACTTATCATTACATCTCAACTCTAACGTCAGTTTTCCACAACTAACAGGAACTGCGCCACAAGTGGGGACCATTCATAGAATCAGCTTTGCGTCAGCTGTGAGCACTTCACTAGAGCCTCACAGATTGTTACAGAATTGGCTCTCAAATCCCAAGTGGAAAAGAAATGTCTTAAATCAAGTCCTCCCAAGTTTAGAACTCACACTTACTACCACAACAATGCCTCTTCAATTCTCTGGGCCTCCAAGGTATTGTGAAAGGTGAAACAGAATTTTCCAAGGCTCCTCCTAAAAAGCGTAAGAACTGGCATCTGGAACCAGAGCACAGAAGAAGAGGGACTGCATAACAGGCTGTTGTAATGTCCACTGGACAGTCACAGGCCAATACTTTTCCAATGGCACATTTACTCATTCAACCTTTAATAAGCCCACGCATTTTCCCACCATAAACAAATTGAAAAAAATAAAAAACACATGTAATTTCTAGAAAATGTAAAAACATTCAATTTCTAGAAAATGCACAGGTTCAAAGTGGACAAAGACTCTGCACACAAACAGGGGCAGCTCCAGAAAAGACTTGGAAAACACGCTCCCAGGAATCTGGAGTCTGCCTGAAACGCCAGTGCTCACATCACCAGCTCCACGCCAAACACATGCTCAATTTTATTCAATCCTCACCAGAGACTAAGCAGGTAGCAATTGTGACTGCTCTTGAAAATAGTAAGTGGTGTTTAGGTGGCAGGGTACACCATACAGTCACTTCACCTGTGAGAACAGGAGCCGGGATGTGAACCTGGGTGACCTAATTCTGGAAGGTGTATTTCATGGTAGGTGAGCTAAACTGGCTCAGCTTTGGCTAAGATTATCATCCCTGCTGCCTGGCAATTTTTATTCCATCTGTCAACCTCACTGAAATCCTACAAACAAGAGAGTCACACGAGTCAAGTGATTACCTCTTTATGGATGTCCATACCTCTGTAAAAATTAAGCCAATTAGGTATTCACAAGTGGAATAAATCAACACAGCCCACCCACTTACCTCCGGTTGCTGGACCGTTCACTGCCTCTGAAAGCGATCAGAACTTTATTTGGGATTGAGGAAGTACAGGTAATTCAGGCTGCAGGGAGCCAACACAGGCTTCAAGAGTTCAAGTCTAGAAAGCAAACAGAGAGCAGAGACTTAGGAAAGAGAACCGGACAAAAAAAGTTTTGGAGATCTTCAGTCCTGATAGAAATGGGGCAAAGTGTCAAAGCAGCACATAAAGTTAAACATGCAGTAACATACATACTGTAAGTGTATATAAAGAATGGTGTAGCAGACGGGGCATCAAGGCAGTATTTCTGCACAGAGATTATGGGCTTTTTAAATTTTCAGCATTTTGACTATTTTCTCTATGTAGATTGCTTATGGAATGAAGGGGATTAAAATCCCTTCAATGAAACCAACTAACAAATAGAAAAAAAGGGAGGCATATGGGTCCCAGCACACATTAAACCCATGTCAAGAGGGCATCTATGAGAAGGAAATAATGGGGCAAATGGGGTTCCAAAATGCTTTCTTTCTACATGAGTACACATTTAGAAGTTTCCAAATGTAAATATGAGAAGAAAGAAACTCATTTAAGGTAACCCAGAAAAGAATGAGGAAACTCTTTCCATGACCGATATCAAGGGCCCCACCCCCAAGGCCGTGGCAGCCCTGCAATGCCGTAAGCCACAGCCAGCACTAGTCTCTTGAACAAGCTTTCTTATAGAGTCGTAGGTTGAGCCATAAGGAATGGGCAATGTTGGGTCATTTTTTAACCTAGAAAACAAGACAGAAAGATCTGCATTAGGAAATGTGTTCTTACCTCTCACCAGCCATGCCCTATGTAATTTGGAGAATGAAATTAAAATCAGCAAAGGCCATCTGAACTCCAGAGAATGGATGAACTTAAGAAAAAAAGAGTGTGGCTCACAGTCTATTCAAAAGCCAGAAGCTTCTGAGAGGAACTTGTAGGCGCACATGTTTTTTTGCTTTTTTGCTACACTGTGAGGGATGTAAGTGAATTTCTTCAGCTTGCTCTCACCTCCCAACGGGTTACACCATAACTGGGGAGGAAAAGCACAGGCCTGAGGGGAGCAAAGGTGAGACTGTAGCTCATGTGAGTGGAAAGGAAAAGGGAGTCTTCAGGAGCCTCTTGAAGGCCAGCTATGAAATTGCCAATTTGCTTGTACAATGTTAAGGAAAGGAAGGCCATCAACAAAATTCTACCTTGTGGTGAAGGACAGGGCGGAGGGAAACAGCCCCAGGATGCCAGCTGCCCATGCTCAGCTTCCTCTCGTTGAGTGGCATAACCCAAAACACTTGTCTTTGAGCACAGTATTTTCAAGCCAATTAATAAAACACCTTTTACGCAAGCAAATGCTATAACCTTTCATGATTACCTGCCATCTGTTCCCTGTGGCTGGTTTTTACCTCAAAAACGCCTGAGACACACATAATGCCAACACCTGTGGTTACCATGGGAATTATCAAAGAGGCAAGTACATGTGTCATGCACATCTAATCCTTAAGCAGGAAATGTCACCTTTTTGGTAGGTCTTCCTGTTGTATTTAATCAAACTGCACTGGTGCCGGAATTTCAAACACTCCCACCAAAAAAACGAGCACAAAAGGTAAGTTGCTGCCTCCTTGTGTCACGGGCACCTTACCTGTCTGCCATCCGACCCCTAGACCACTCACTCACTCCCTGTCCTGTCCTCCTGTGTATGTGATACACTTAAGGGAACGTTCCCCTAAGGCAGTAACAGGGCAGTCTACCATAGACGAGACGTGACTCAATCTGCCTGAAACTCCTCAGACGCAGATGGCCAGTCAACGAGAATGTGTGCCTGATTGATCAAAGCCCCAGAAAGGACTGCACCAGAGGATCAGGTGAGGCCAGAGCAGAACAAAGCAGCCCAGAATGTTGAACAAATACAGTCGTTTCCAGAGAGCAGAAAGCAGAGAGCTGAGTCAGTGTGAAGAAGTATGTGAGCATGTCAGAGGGACCCCGCAGGCAGCACAGGCCACCTGCTCCAGTGTCGTAGGTTAGGGACACACAGTCACTCTAGCGAGCTTGACCCCAGGCTCTCATGACATGCCAACAAGCTTTTCCCAGACCGCGGGTCACTGCAGCTCTTCCTTCTTTGGTTACAGCTTTACAATTAGACTCCTTATCTTCAGATGATGAGGAGACAGAGCACAGACCTCTGATGTTTGTGGAGAATTCTAAAGCTGAAAATAGACATTGCAACTAATGCCCCAAATAATGCTCTCCATGTCCCAGTGCTACAGAAAAACCAACTGTGAGGGCACCTTGCCTTCCAGAAGTTCACTGAGATAGACATTTTCCTATACAACGTGGCAAAACTGCAGCTGCGTTCTAAAGCAGCTCATAAAGTGACTGAACACCCAACGTCCCCACAGCAGAGGTGGGCATGCTGGAGCCATCCCTCCTGACAGGGCCAGAGAGGACATGAAGACCCCCACCTGGTCAGCTGTGAAGTACTGATTTGGACATGGCTGAGGACCTGGAAACCATCCCAGGACATGACCATACATTGCCAAAATGGAGAAACAAAACAGTCTGTAGCTCTTCACTCGGCTAGGAACACTCACATCCAACCCCCTGAAAGCCCAGGTTATTAGGAAACAGAGGAAGAAACTCTAAAACAGCCTGTTAAAACCGCGGAGACATGGATGACAGTGGCAGCAGGAGGAAGAACGCAGAACAAACTCACTCTGAGTTCAACTTGGATAAGGGAAAAAGGGTATTCAAGGAGGGCAGCAGCCGCCCTGGACAGAATGCATTTCCTGTGGCAAGGAGCTTTTTATTGAGTGTCTTTGAAAGGCACCTGGTAACTCTGATATCTACAAGGTTGCAGCAACCTCATAAACTTAAGGGCCCTCCCAGAAACAGGAGCTATGGGGGTGCTTCTACTGCTTCCTCCTGATTTTCTTCTGCTCAAAGATGCTCACACGTGGCAAAGGTCACTGGATATATCCCCTAAAGGCTCTCTGGGGAAGGGGTCGGCATGGACTGCTGCTCCAGATGATATGTACATCATCAAAAGAAGTACATAATAGGAGTCAAGAATATGAGTGGTTCCAAAGCACTGTGAGAATGTGAAAGAAAAGGATAAAAGACAGGTGAGGTAGTTTGCACAAATAGACACACGTCTAACGGAAGAAACTGTACTTCCATTTTTTGCTATGAGTACAACAGCAACAATAATGATGAAGTTTCTACATGCAAATAGCCAGTTTTTTTAATAGAGAAAAACTAGTTTTCAAGTATTTTAATAGTAAAACCCATTTGTCCCAAACTTCATTCTATGTCAAACCCAAATATAAGACTCAGAAAAAAAAGTGGAGCTATTCTAACTTAAAGAGAGAAAGACACTGAGCCCAACTGACCAGCCTTGACCTTCATGCCCTCCCCACTTGGCTCCAGTCCCATGCCCACACCCTGCCCCCATCCCCACCAAGGACCTGGAACCCCAAGGCCAGCCTGAGATACACCAACCCACAGCAGATGGTCACAGCACCTGAACACCACAAGCTACAGAAGAACTTTTAAGTGAAAGAGTGAAAAGCGAAAGAGTGAGAGGAAAAGGCGTGAGACGAAAGCTTTAAAGGAGCAAGGGAACTGAAGTCAGCCCTTGACTTTGAGAAATGCAAAGATTCCAAACCCAGCTGTGCTCACGGCCTCTGCATGCCACTACCTCCACAGTCCACGAGGTTGCCGAGGGGAAGCAGCTCTTTTCTCCAGAGTGTGCCTGCAGGCAAGATCTCTGCACAAAGTCTTTGCTTTTGGTAAGATATTAAGAGTTCTGTTTGGAAGAAATGTAGATTTTAAGCAGTCCACTACAATAAACAGGCAAACCTGTTTTCTGATGAGTCTGTGGCACATAAAGAACTAAATGAGTCTGAAAAAGCACAGCAGTTAAAAAAAACTTAAAAGACAACACCTAGAGTTATCTGTTAACTTAAAACCCCAGCACAAAGGAGGTCATCCTGCTGTCGTACCTGAGGTGGATCGGGACTCCTGGTCTTAGCACGGATTGCCCGGGTCATGAAGCAGAGACGTCCTGGGAGGGGCCAGATGGGTGTGATCACTCCTGAAAGGCAAGGAAGAGACATTAGACTCCACCTGTTTGGGTTCCAGAACTTCCGACTCTGTGGCTGGGACAGGAAAGGATGAATCTGCTCAGCTCAGCATTCGGAAAAGACAACCTAATATGAGATGAGCAGCCAGGGGAGGCAGGAGAGTCCCAGCAGGGATGGGATCAGGAGGGGGCAAAACACAGCGTCACAGGGGAGTCGGTGAGGGGACTGTGGAACCAGACTAGAGGCCTCCAAGTAAGAGTTGCGAACATGGTACCTCAATAAATGAATGGCCATATTACAAATAAGGAAAACATAAAAGCATCACCCAGGTTATGTAGATAGGTTAGCTACAAATCTGGAATACAGAAATGGAGCCGCAGTTCCCTTCTAACCCTTGAAAGGAGCCACAGAGAGGAGTGAGCTCTCTCTGGAAACTGGCATGAGAACTACAGTCAGCAGGGACAGAAACCGTAGCTGGTTCCTTCAAGAAAGAGGCAGACCCCCACCTCTGTAACCATCCACTGAGTTAGCTGACATGGGGCCGCACACACACTTGCACTCAGAACCTCAGGAGAAGCTACATGGACCACGCCTGACGGAGGGCACTGCAGTCCGGGGAATGGGATGGAAGGCCTGACACTGTCACTGTTTGAATGCAGCCCCTGTCACCCTTTGCTGAGGGCACACGGGGAGGCCCTCCCTGAGTGCCGAGTACAGTGGCATGCAACCAGAGCACCCCTAATTTGCATAGACACGTGGTGGAGGGAAGAGATGTAATTAAGCTTCTGGAATATAATTTGGACCTAATGTTAACCCACAGGGGACTATCATTATGCCAAAAATGCTTAAGAGGCTAACTTCAGCAGCAAACCAGCACTTCCCACCAATCCCAAGCAACACCTCTTATGTATTCATTTATGTTAATACGTCACCCTTTTCCACTTCTTATTTTGCAAATATCCAAACCAATAGAAAAGTTAGATTTATATACTCTTCATCTATATTTACCAGTTTTTCCATATTTGCTGATTTTTTCCTTATACATACTTATTTTAGAGGTTTTATTTATGTATACAGAACTGGGGTACAGGCCAGAGGTGCAGGGGAGGTGAGAGACAGAGTGGGGAGCAGAACAGGCAGACTAACGAAGTACACTGCTGAGGGGAGCAGCAGGCGGTTCAGGAGAGGTCTGCTGCGCCATGTAGGTCATTCCCAGGCTGGGAATCGAACTCAACTGCAGAAGCTTCACAGTGCTGTGCTTTAACCCGTTGCACCACCAGAGAGGACCCTTATACATATACTTTCTTATGAACCAATTTACTATTTACTATGACACTTGGTCTATACATACTTTAGCAACTCCCACACCAACATGTTTGATGCCATTATCCGACCAGAGAAACTCAATATTCAGTAACAGCATCAAAAACACAGCCAATGTCCAAAACTGTCAACAAATTACCACTTCTCTGTCATGTACCAGTTACCACGAAAGCACCAAGACAGCAAAGATGAAGAAGGCTCAGGTTCCCCTCCCAGAGGGAGACAGACACAGAGGCCTCACAAGGCTCATGCGGACATGGAGGCTCTTGTCGTGGCAGGAACATAGATGGCTCAGCGCCCTGGCAGACATCAGGAGAGGTTTTTGAAATGAGTTTACGCAACACTATTGAGGGGGAGAAAGTGCTGCAGAGCAGGAACTGAATTTAAAAATGTAGAGATTTGAGGATAAGACTCAGAATGAGATCCCCCCACACCTTTTACCCCCCCCCACCCCTACAAAAAACCAAATCCCAATCCCAGGAACCTGAGCACACATTGAGATGGGCAATGTAATCACTAATTCTTAAAAGGCAGAGCAGGGTGCTGGAGTCAACATAAGTGGGGTGAAATGAGAGACTCCCTCCTGGCAGGGAACTGCGGACCTAGCAGTCCCAGGCTGGGGAAGACAAGGAACCGATTCTCTCTTGAGTCTTAAGAAAGGAACGCATCCCTGCCAATACCAGATTGAGCTTAGCAAGAGGTTTTGAACTTCTGACCTCCACAACTGCAAAATTATACATTTTTGTTTTGGCCACTTAAAAAACAAGTAGAAACCAACTTCATTCTTGAAACAAGGTTAGCAACTGTCAGAGGGCTGGGGGCTGGGGACCATGCCATCAAAATCCTTGTAGTAGAGCCAAGAAAAGTGGCTTTATTCTTGAAGGGTGAAGAGACAGCCAAAAATCAGAACAGGACTTGTATCTTAGGAAGAGAATTCTGGAACAGAAAAAACCGAATCTAGAAGGCAGCCAACTGGCAATGTTTGTTGCCAGTGACAAAAACCTGAACTTTCAGGCATAACATTAAGAATTTTAGAAAATTTCATCAGCCACCAAGATTGTAACAGTTTCCCAAAACTTATCTCACTGTTTGTGATAATAATAAATGTGATTTTTAGAAAAATATTATGGTGAAGTGTGTCAACATTTGGAGATGTGTATCATTCTGTAACACAGTGGTTTGGTTAGGCAGAGTCAAGGCCTGGGACTAACTCAAAGTGCAATAGAGACCTGCACATTTTTAAAGTGCAAAAAGGTCACCGAAATGGCTTTAGATTCCATAATGAAACCAGTAACTGCCTGTGACATTTTGTGTAGTATTAAGATTCCATAGTTACCTCCTCCTCCTTTTCCATGTTTTATCTGTGAGGGCTTCGATTCTTTGTATACTTCAACTAAAACATTACATCAAAACTGAATGAAGCATAAACAGGCGTAAGAATCATGAGCCATCTATTAACTTAAACATTTAAGAAATGTATAAATATGTAAAGCAATGCCACTTATTCTTTGTTTTAAAGAGTAGTTTATTTTTCATTAAAATTTTATTTGTTAAATGGTTTATTGTTATTTTTAGATAGGTTAATATAAGTATTTCAAATTGTTGTAAGTTTTCATTTATAATATGACATTAGTAATGTATGTAAAAAGCTCCTTGAAGCCTCCAGTAGTCTTCAAGGGGGGGATTGAGACTTTAAGGGTCACAGAAAGAAATAAGCATACATTTAACATCAGCTCCGCATGGGGAAAGCTGCTCCCCCCCTTACTTCTTCAGGGATGACAAACTACCTGACAGTGAGCTCTGCACTGCACCCACCTGCATGGTATACAGGCAGGTAACACCCCCAAACAGAGGCACGCAGAACATTAATTTAGGCTGTACTGAGCAGCATTAAAGGGATCGGCATGCATAGCAAATATTCGCCAGTAGTGCTTTTCTTTAACCCAAGAATGTTCCAAATGAGGTATTTTTTGCAGATTAGATGTTCCAAATGAGGTATTTTTTGCAGATTAGAAAATTCACTTGTTAAAAACAGAGTAATTAAAATGTTACACCTCATACCTAAAGAATTTTATTTCATTTATTCATAAGTATAGCAAGCAGCATTCCAGCACCACCCTTGACAGGAACACACAGAGCCTGAAAATGTGTGACTGGCAGCACAGGCCTCTGTAGCCTGGGGACACCTGGGAGATCCACAGGTGGGAGATACGTAAATGAACCCAAAACATCAGCACGGTATTTCCACCGAACAATCAATAATTTCACAGGGACCTGGTCTTTCCATTCATTACTTTGATAGAAACCACTGCAAATGTCTTCCGGTTTTCTTTATGAAATACAATAACGCCCAGCTTTTTGACAAATTAAAATAGCTGCTCTGCCTGTGAGTTTTTAATGTTCTTCATTCTTCAAAGGTCTTCTTTATCAGAATCAGTTCCAGAAACGGAGGATGTCCGGTCTCCACAGTTTACTTCCTATTCATGGGAGGACCTCTTAGAAAAAGAATGAAGACTAACCAGGGGTATCATCTCTGATCTTCGAAAGCAATCATTAGAAGTAAGTAATTAGGAGGAAAGTGAGCCCCAATTGCACAAGCAGGCACCCCCTCCCACAGAGGGTCAGCCATGGTGGTCTGTGGCTCCTGCAAGACAGCAGAGTTGAAGACAAGGAGATCTTCACGTCTACTGACTTCAACCAAAAGCTCTGGCTCAGTGCTCCGCCGAGATGGCTGAGGCAGCTCCCACAGGAGCCGCCATGTCAGAACCCTAGGACAGCATTTGTAGTCTTGAAAAAGGAAACCATAATTTTTTTCTTTGGTATGAACAGCTTGGAAGTTTTAGCATGAGATTTGTGTTTGTGGAAGGGCTAAGAGGCCCTGTCAAGCACTGTCAAGGAGCTAGTAGAAATCATTTTCCTATTTAAGAAGAAAGAGAGACAATAGGATTCAAACCTCAGGTGCAGAAGAGTCCCCAGAACAACGAGGGCCAGTCTCTGGGCATCACCAAAGGATCTTAAACTGTCCTGAGATACTCTCAAGCTTTCTTCTCCTCTTTCTGCTATGATCCTGCCGGCAGGGCCAGCAAGAGCCGACAGCGAGAGCAGCTGCAAGCTGGCACCTGCAACGCACTGAGCTGGCGACTGGGAATTTCTGGACCACAGAACTTGGAGTGAGCCCTCTTCAGCCTTCCAGTCTGAAACCGCATTTTGTATTTACCCAAAATGACCAGACTCTATAACTGAAAGAAAACACCCGAGAAGGGCAGAGTTGGATGGTACCAGAAACCAAAATACTTGTATATATCATGCTCCCTTACATTGCCATCTGACTTATACTTTCTTCCTTCCATGGCTCTACAACAATGTTTCTCAGGTTTCTTAGCTCACTTAGGTTTCCTTTTTTGTGATGACAGTGAGTTTTACAGCTGTTACTCAATGGTTCCTCAAGCAAACCAACAGAACTGCTCCCAGTGTCCATGTGAGAATGTGCACATATCACCTCTTCTCCCACTTTCCAGTGTCCATCCTGATTACCCCTCTCCTTGAGATCCACCCGTTTCTATGCACTCCCTAAGGCAGCATAACATTTAAACATAAACGCTATTTTAAAGACCACGCAACCTATCTAAACATTTGTGGTTCTACAGTGCTTCTCAGGGGGAAAAATGACAAACTTTAAAGGAAATGT